ACTATTAGATACCGCTCTACAAATACGGCGGAAAAATAACGTTTTTATTTTTATCTTAAATCGAAATGAGATAAAACAATAAAACATTGCGGAAATATTACAAAAACACATTTTCTGCATATTTTTTGATTTCTTTGAAATGAGGGTAGGGGATTAAATTACACTACCTCTATTACTCTTCTTAACAAAGTTTAACATCGACACATTTGGTTTTATTTAGAAACTTTTGTCTGGTTCAATTTTTTTTATAATAAAAACTGTTTCGAAATAAAAAAAATTATGAGATATAAAACATCTAGTCGGCTGCTGTCACTTCTCATTACGTTTTTTCTTATTGCTTTGCTTTATTTATTAACCAACCAAAACTAATCAAACTAATGATTTAATTATTCAATAATAGAAGTTTTAATTCAATAATGGTGAATTACATTAATACAGAAATGGCAGATATGCATTTTTTATACGGGCGTGCTAACGGAAGTTCGTACATCCGGATTAGCGGATTAGAAGTTGCCTATGCTAAATATTATTAGAGGATAAACGGAGATAAATACAGGGAAAATTTCTGCAGAATTAAATAGTAATGCATCAACTGTATGGAGGATATTAAAAGAAGAACAGTTATATCCATAACGCACTCTTTTACCAAGAGTTTTTGCATCGATTTCGCCTGATGAATACCGTTGATCCTGTTTTTTGTTCAAAAATTCTGGTTTCGAACGAAGCTAGTCTCCCAAGAGGTGCAATTCAAAACTCTAACGACAGGCATATATGGGCTGAGGATAATCCGCATTCGATAACAGAATATAGACATTAATACCAGTTTGCAGCTAATGTTTTATTAGGAATTATAGATGATGATTTAATTGGGTCTACCTTCAAGAATAACTGGTGACTGGTAACTCCTAATTTCGTTTTCTACAAGAAGAATTACCTCATTTGCTAGAAAATGTGCCCCTATTAACTAGAAGAGGCATGTATTATATGCATTATGGTGTCCTAGCATATTTCAGTTTAAGTGGACGTATAAAACCGCTGGATAGGAAGAGCTTTTATCATTGGCTGCCTCGTTCTCTAGATTTAATTCTGGTGCATTGTTACTTTGGAAAAAACGATAAAATCGATTATTTTCGAAAGTATACTCGCTTCTCACTAAACTCCATATCTCGGTAACGGCTGCTGCTAGAGGACCGCCATTGGCACAGAACGAATCGGTGTCGAAAAAAAAAATTTTCCATCTTTTTCCATCTTTTTTTTTTCGATTTTAAACAACTCGTAGGCAACAAGTAGTTTTCAAAATTCAAAAACATTTTTTTTAAACCAAAGAGTGACCATTTCTTGAAAACCGTTCATCGAATCGAAAAAAATCTTGAACGGGAAGATGCAAACTATTGATACCCACAAATCTTTTTTTGTGCCGGCATTTCCAAAAAACTGAGTTATGGCCTGTTCATAGATATAAGAAAGTGACAAATTTTTTGAATGGGATTATCCAAGATTATTACCTAAAGTTTCGGAATTTAAATTCAGGTAAAATTGTGGTCCGTAATAGAAAATAATAAATAATAATCTTGTTGCATTGTATGTTAATGACCAACCTTGGATAATCCCATTCAAAAGCAATTGGCCACTTTCTTATATCTATGAACAGACCATACTCTTGAAGGGAAAATTGACTGTAAGTTAAATACAGTTATTCAGTCGGCGGTTTCTTGTACATGACAGTTTTGATTATAGAGATATGCCGAAAAATGCAGCAAATGCCCGAAAGTTGCAGCTTTTGATTTCAAAATTGGCAAGGCAACAGAAGTCTACCCCCGCATGCAGCTTATAAAAGCTAGGTGTAATCGGACATCGGTAAACATTTTTTAAAAATTTTCGAAAAACTTTTTGTCGTAATTTTGGACCGTATAAAAAAAATCATTTCTCGAAAACTAATTACCAGATCGACAAAATTCTTGAACCAAACGACGCGGAAGATCCTTCATTTTGGGCATTTTTTCGATTATATACAAGAATTTTGAGTTGCGGACAAAAATCTTGAAATTATTAACCGTAAATCAAGTGCGTCGTTTGTGGGCAAAAAATCAAGGTAGTCCCTGAAAATTGGCGTTTTTGGGGGTAAATTATTAGCTATTAATGGAAAACTATAAAACATGGGATAATTTGGTTAAAGTGTCGAGAGAGAGTTTCAGGTTTCGTCTATCATACAGGGTTATTACTTTTATATTTGTCAAAGTTTGTTGTGCCTTTGGAGTTCGGCGATACGTGAAAGACGCTTTATACAGGGTGTATGCATAATAAAATTATATCCATTTTGCTAAAGTCCCATAGTGGTCCGCAGGAGCACGATAAAAAAACAATGTCTCTCGCTAGGACAAGAAACTGCGAAACAGTTTCTTTTCAAAATAGAAAGCTGCTTCGAAGACCTAAGAAATCATATAATTGCGTCTTGTAATGGTCATAAGAAATTATGCAGATATATTACGCCGTATTATAGACTCAATAGTTAGTAGGATATTATTATGAAATTAATGATAAATTATATCACAAGGCAGACATTTTTAACAGTTTCAAATAAACCTTTCTATTGAAATTTATTTTTTTCTATGGCATTGTGTAAGCTTAGTTGTTCGGCTTTTGTCCCAATGTTTATATAACAAACTACCCTTTATTTTAAATAAGGAATCACCCCCTTAACCACCTTGAAACACCCTGTATAGAAAATCTGTTTATAAGTACGTAAACCTAATGCCATAAACATAAATAAATTAGGTGTGTTAAGTATATCGCTCATAGATTAAAAATTTGCTTCTAAAAATTTATCCTAAATAAAAAATAAAAATTATACGAGGTCGAACAGATTAAGTTAGTCGAGGACAAGGCAAAGGCAATGTACGTTACAATTATCGGGTCCGGCTGTAGCGTTTATTTAAAATATTGCAGCAAGCGATGCCTATGACTCCACCGCTGTTGTCCTAATATTTATTTAAATTATTATAGAAACCTTGGAAATCCGGTAAATTTCCAAATAAAAACGCGAATATTAGAAACACAAACAAATCGTCTTCAATTTGAACTTCAGCATTTGGTTGATATGGGCCAGTGTTCTCATATAATGTGTCTCGTATTACAAACTTGCTATATTTCCATAGCAACTTTGATCGTTTCTAAATTTTTTTAAAAATCCGACACCACTGGCGCATGGGATAAGAATGACCTGTCGCCAATGGCTGGTCCCATTTCATTTGCCGTTCAGTTTATTTGATGTATAATTTTTTATATTGACATACGAACGCTCATATGGAGCAGAGGTATCGGGAAGGAGAGGGCAAGATGATTGATGAGTGAAAAATATTTAAAGCAGATTTTATGAGTTGAAAGAGAAACTTCACTATATATGAGAAATGAATTTCATTGATTCTAGAAAAGAATAAGAACGAGTAACAGAAAGCTGAACGCATGTAAGAAGGGACACATTAGTATGAAACTATTTACAAATATTCTTTATTCTTTCTGTGTCGGTTGTGGATGACTTTTTTGTATTTTTACTATTAACTTGATTAATGTTATTACTTTGTAAAGTTATTTAATAGTTTGATTTGTAAATAGAAATTTAAATTTGGTAGGGCAAATAAACTTTACTTGTTAAATAGAAATTCATTTCATTGATTGTTTTAGAGAATATAGAACATTTTCAGACATTTTACCCTAGTGTTCCAGTTCCATAAGGATAGTTAAAGAGACGCATATCTTGTATTTACTTTTCAAGTTTTCCTATAAATACTTTTTTATCCTTTTTGAAATTAACTTGAAAATGATCGTAATGTTTTTCCAAAATTAGCGTCAAAGGCTGTCAATTTTTAAAGAAATTTTTGCTGATCAATTAACAAAAATCACCACATATCGTGAAAGAGGGGTCATGTTCACAAAGAAGGCTTTGGTGTTTGATAGAAAGAAATTTTAGTCTTAATGTAAACGTAAATTGCTATAGGTATTTGGAAATGTTTTATATACGAATTTACTTGAAGACGAATTTTTCATTGTCGTTTGGTTCGTGACCACGAAAAATATTTATGGCTCATAAGTTAGACACGCGGTCATCAGTTCTAGCCTTGGATATGAATCGGGTACAATCCTTACAATGTATTTTTTCAAAAATGTGCCATTTAATTAGCAAATTAAAAAAATATTATTTTATATTTAATATTGACATATACATACTTGTACCTGTAACTATTTTTCGCTATTTGTAACTTGGAAAAGGAAAAATATTTAACATTTCTTCAATCATTCCTGTACATTCATATACAAACGTACACTTTGCAACTCGTTCTCGAAAAATAATTTCAGTACCCACAGTTCGTAAAGACTTATAGACGTAGATTTGCCACAGTTCATGAGTCTCTCGCAGTACATAACTTTGATATTTTAAATTAATTCTGTGAAAATAATATTTTGTGGCAAGCCCCGTTATAATCAAATCCAATATTTTCGTACTTGATTGAACCTATTAATAATTTGCCAATGCGATAAACGGAAACAAGCATAATCCTTCGAGATTGATATCGAGCATTGATGCATCGCTTACATGTTGTACAAAATTAACTAACCAACCACGTCATTTTAAAAGCTGTAAAAATTCATATCATTATGATGATTTAATTATTTTGAAATTTGGAATTATCTAAATAAAAAAAATCGGAATATTATAGTTCCTATATCCGTTTTCAACAGTAAGTAACCAAAATCACTTTGATTCAAACACTACATTAGTATCTTTCGTTAAAGGGTTCGTTCTAGATCTGGCATAAAAAAAATTAGTGTAGGGAAAGGCATTGCGAATTGATGAAGAATTAAATTCTGCTAGATTGGTATTGGATTTTCACCAAAAATTGCCGATGTTAATCCCGATGTTACAGGTCACCAATCCACGTTTTACCAATTAGTTTCGAACGAAGAAGACGACAGAAACTAAAAATGTCACGTCTGCTTTCCAGATGTGGCCCATACTATCCTTCACCCTGGCCACGATGGTCTTGATGGCGATATCGGTGGTCAGATCGGAAAACAATTCGGCCGCTCTCTGTCCCGGAAGTGCAGACAAAGGCCCGTGTAACCGGAACATCTACAAGTGGGCGTTCGACCACAACAGGAAAGAATGTTCTACTTTCGTGTGGGGAGGTTGTGGTGGTAATGATAAAAATAGGTTCGACAGCGAGAAGCAGTGTATCCAAAAGTGTTTCCACGTGGGTAAGCTCGCTAATATTGACATCATGTAGCTACTAGATATATAGAGGCCCTGCTTGGTGCTAATGATACTCAAATCTCCTTAAAACATAGATATATAGGTAGATCCTTTATTAAACACGTTCTGTTTAAAAATAAAACAATTGTGGCAAGTAAATACGTAAATGTGAAAACAGTTAAAAAAATAGCAAAAACGAGACTATTCTATAAGAAAGAATTACGTAAAAGATAGAAGTCCATGTACTCTCACGCGGAGTAGAATTAGTGCCTTTTTTACATATCCTTCAAGTTTTTTATTACTCAGTGCCTTCTCTTTTGATGGTAGTTTATTATACAAACACAGGTTTAATGAATTTTTGTGGCATTCAGTCTACTTAAATTTTTTGTTGCCAAAGAAGTCAATTTCTCGGGTAGGATAATCATATTGAAAAGAGTTCAACCCAAACGTGTCAGACATGGAAGTGGCACGAGTTTGAATATTTTAAAGAATGATCTTGATAACCTTCACACGCTGTTACTCTAACTACCTTGTTTTGAAGTTTAAAAGCCAGATCAGCTGCAAAAAAGTAACCCCGCGGAACAACACTATTGGTCAGGTGTCAGGTTTCCATAGCGACTAATTACACTAATTCACGACAGTGTTTTACACAACGAATTGACATGCTGAGCCCATCCCATCATCTATTGTGAAAAGTTCCACACTACCACCCATCACCAAGCTATTATTTGTTGAGAACACATATGCATTTAATTTAAACTGTCTGCATAAAAAATGCATTTATTCTTAGATTGTTAATATACACAATAAAAAGCAGCTTATTCAGGACAAAGCCCTAGGATACTATCCACTCTTCTCACGTTCGACACACACACATTGTCTCCTAGATGATAGGTATGACTTAGTATAATATAGATATTCATTTTTTCCAGTAGCAAGTGGTGAGAAACTCAGTGGAAGGTCACAAAAGAGTAAAATCCACGTGTTCCCCCCGCTCAAGGCCCCCCACAACATTTCTCACAACCCTGCAGATTGCCTGTATAGTAAAGCATCCTGGTCTAAACTCGAAGGAGGCACTGAATATACAATTATTGCTATGTAGAAAACGTGATAACTGGTTTCTTATTAATGACTCTAAAATTTTTCCTAGTAGGGGAACTATAGATATTGGTAAATTAGGTTGTCCCTTTTTGAATATCAGTACAACCCTAAAAACCTTAAAATATTGAGGGAAAATTCAATCCTCGATGCATCTGCCTAAGAGATAAGGAAGAAGTGTCATTATACATTCAATAACCTCTTTGTATCACAATAATCAAAGAAACCTGATTTTTTCAAATCTGCGCCAACCCAAGACCCATGTAGAAATAGAGTTGCTGAAACAAAAGGTATATATAGGATATTCTTTCTGTATAATTAGTTATTTTTCACGCATCTCTAATTCTGGTACCTAATGTACTAATATACTTGTCATATGCATCCCGCTTGTTATTTTTAATAAAAGTATTTTGAAAAAAACTATAAACAGTTCTAGATCTAGATCTAGAAAATGGCACAAAGTGCGGATTGGTGGCTGACATTCAGATTAGGAGGTTATTCCCACTAGGGGGTCACTATATTATCTAATAGCTATGCGGTTGTGAAGGACGGCTTTAAGTAGGGTACCCATTTTAGCCAGGAATCAAATCACGCTCGTGAACGGAACCAGCGTACCCAAAGACCAAAGGGGTCCGAAACTGACGTTCCAGGAAACGGGAAAGGACAATACGTTCATGTTCGCCCAGTCCAATACGTTCATACAAATCGACGGTGACATAATCCAGACGTTTCAGTTGAGGTAACCGAGAGCAAATAAATAGCAATAAGCAATAAATTAAGCAATTCGGTGGGGAGCTGGGTAAATATTAATCCTGATAAGAAGGTGAACAATCCTTGTGTAAACATACGGTTATAAATAATAATAAAGTTTTTCGATTTGAACTATACCGGGTGTTGGGTTACGTCTAAAAAGCAATACTAAATTGTATACAGTGTGTCCCAATTTTGATAGTTCTACGGCATATCTAGCGACCTTCCTAACCCAAGACTTTTCTTTCATAAGATGAAAGGTGGCACAAAGAGAAATGTCATAGAATTTTTCGATACCGGGTGATTTTGGAAATTTCGCATTGCAGCTTGGTTATCGAAATAGTGATTATTTAAAAATTTAACACCCTGTATGTATTAATACTTTTATAAAGTTTTTATTTGTTTTTTAGAAATATATATACAATCACATAATAGTTATTGTAAATACAAAGCATTTATCTTTAATTTCAATATTTTTAACACGCTAGCTGTATTATAAGGGGCCGTAAAACTATCCATTTTTTTCCATAATTATGAATCTAAAATATTGCCTAATACTGCTGCCTATTGACATCAATATTATTAAACATACCAGAATGTTTAAAAGAATGCTTACACTTTACATCACATTTTTGTTTTATTTTGTTTAAGGGTTAAAGATTAAATTAACTTATTTTCGCTTGTAGAACTTGTTCCTTTTTTATTGTTTTTTTTTTGTTTTGCGATTATTTGGCGCATATGTGTTGTTTTCGTTTTGATTATAATTGCTATGATCACGAAATCAATTACTATTTAATTTTTATATATTACCTTTTTATGATATTATCGTATATGCTAATAGAAAGAACCAATAATAATAATAATAATAATAATATTACTTATAAACGCAGCTTTCTTAGTGACGAAAAAATTGAAGATTTTGATTTTGTTTTTCCACCGATTTATTTTAAAATTATTGAGCTTCATTTTTCAGTCGAAAAATCGAAATGGTGCAGTGTTTCGAGTTTCTTACACCATCATCCACTTTAATTATTCTAATGGACGACATATTGGATTTTGGTTGTGTTTAATGTCGCTTTTTATTATCTTTTTAATGAGATAACCGTTGAGCTACCGTTCCGAAATATGATAACAAGCCTCATAGGGTTGAATAAAGATAATTAAAATTTGACAATTTTTTAACTCTCATTTATGTATACGGGGTGCGATAAAAAACTTATCTTATACAACTGTATTTTTTAAATGGCAATTTATTTAAAACAGTAAAGCAAAGACAATATTTTATATTTGTTAAAAATTTTAATGCAAACTGCAAAACACGAATTTAAAGAAAGTTCATTGTTCTTTTTGACTTACTGTGGAGCAATTTTAAGGTGCACAACTTTTGTTAAAGAAAAATAACACATCCTTTAATTTTTTCTTTGACCAACTCGATCTTGCTTACAGATTATGTAGACAAATTTCGTTTCAATTTCGAACGCGGCTACCCCACGGCCTCCTGGTCTATCACAACGTCAAAGTGCCCACCGGCATTTCCCTCCAGCCTTACGCCCTCTACGTCATCGTCCAGCAAGGTCAACTGAAGGTCGTGCACGTGTACGGAAAGCACTCCACCGCGCTTACCGTCGGCAGGGGGTTGAATAAAGACCAATGGCATTCTGTAACGGTAATGCGTCACCATATATGTTTCTCTTACGTTTCATCAGTTTTGTGGCCCCGTGGTTCGCCGGATCTCACTCCACTTGATTTTTTTATATGTCGATATTGCAAAAATTTTCTTTATCAGCGAGTTTTCGAGACATGTTAATAAATATTTCATCTTCGACAATTCCATGATGGTCACTTGTGTGCACATTCTTTACAATTTTTTTTTGTAGTAACTTGGGGTTGGTTCCCTTTTTTTAGGTTAGAATCGATGTGCACGCCGCCAAACTCACGGCGATGGTCGACGACCTCAAGGAGGAAACCGACCTGAAGGGGTTGGACACGGAGAATAACTACGGAGTTACGGCAAACGTTACTTCGGTTATTCTCGTGGGAGGTACGCGTCTCTGTGACCTCTATGGTAGGATCTCGAATTAATGAAATTTCCAGGTCTAAGTTCCGAGGAACGTCTACACGGCGTCAAATACATCATCGAGTCGTTCGTCGGTTGTATCAGAGACGTGATTCTGAGCACTGGCAAGTCTGCTTCGGATTTGCTGCAAATCTCTCCCCTGATTGCCACCAAGCACGAGAACGTCCAGGAAGGTTGCGTAGATAGGTGCGCCGAAAACCTTTGCTTCAAGGGTTCTAGGTGTGTGAACCATTACAACTCTGCCACGTGTGATTGCTTCGGCACCAACTACGAAGGCGAATACTGTGATATTTATAGTGAGTGACTCGACCTTCTCTATTGACTCTTCTTCTCTTACTTGACTTAGTCAAGATCTCATAAGCAGAATTATATTTATAGACTCAGTGGTGTAAAAGCTTCTAAACCATTTTATAACACCCGCTATCAAAAGGACTAGGCAAACATTTTTTATCTCCTTAACATATTAATAAAAACAAACGATCGTCGTAGCAACTTCACTTTTTAAAAAATAGAACACCCCGTATATTTTTACTCAGCATGCATAACAATTTCAAAAATATGTAGTTTGTCGGGATTGAATTCAGCCGTTTTTGACTACGATATTCAAAAGAAGAATTCAAAAATCGACGTCAACATGACCCTGCAAAAGAAAAGTGTTAGGTATATTTATTAGCAAAATGAAGTAACAAGTTTCTGATTTCCAAACCGCAGTGCTTGTTGTTCTCTTGATACTTTTTATCTCATCAAATCAACGAAAGATATTCCCTAAAAGTATATGTTATCCGAGAAATGGTTGCTGATATTTACGTAGAACTTGCGATAAATTTCCATTGTTTAAGGCAAATAATTTGATGTTTTTGCCATCAAAGCTTGTAAACAATGTTTTTCAAGTTATTTCAAATAAGAACTTTTATTTTAGGTAAAAATATCCTGAAAAGTATACATAATGTTCTACTTAAAAATAATAAAGCTTATTTATGTTTATTGGTACGTTCAGAAAAAAGTATTTGCCTGTTCCCTTTAACAAACTCTGATGGCCATATTTTATATTCTATACTTCAAAAGGATGCTATGGTCCCTTAAATAACTAAATATTTTTTGGTTTGTTCCGGTGATATCAAGGATGATTGAATGCCTGTCAAGGAGCAATTTTGCCTATACTTTGAAACCCCCAGACCAGACCAAAACTTTGTTTTTAATTCAATCTTACCCATAAAATCCAAAGATTCCCACTGTCTATTCCAGCTGCCACGATCTTGACACTCCGAGGATCCTCCTACGTCTCGTATAGAGTCTACGACTGGAAAGACCGCGTCCATTCCTCCCTGACACGCTTCTCGGTCATGTTCAAAACCAGATTCGACGATTCGGCTTTGCTGTACGCCGCTGGCGGCGAACACGGCATTGACCATTACATCGCCGCCTCCATATACAACAACTCCGTTTACGTGGTAATGGATTTCGGCGAAGACCCCATCACGGTTCGTCTGGGACTCACCCCGGACTTCAAGCTGCATCAGTGGAACAATTTGACCATCTTCCACGAGCACGACAAAGTCCATCTGGTACTGAACGACGAATTCAAGACGATCAACATCAGCGGCAATCCGCTGCTTTACATCGACCCGGAGATCTACATCGGCGGTGGGCCGGAGTTGCAGAAGAAAACCGGCTTGAAGTCGAAAAACAACTTCGTGGGGTCGTTGAAGTACGTCTTCTACAACGACATATCCATCATCTACGAGCTGAACAAGAACAATCCCAAAGTGCACTACATCGGGATTCTAAGACCAGAGTTCTACGAAGCAGACGTTCAGATCATACCGATCACGTTCCCCTTCTCCGCTTCTCACATCTGGTGGCACAACAACCACACCGATATACTGTCCTTGTCGTTCCACTTCAAGGCCAGCAGTAACTTGAGCGTGCTCGCGTCCAGCGAGGCCCAGACCGGCCTCTACTGGGAGGTGAGGGTGGTGAACGACGAAGTGAGGTTCGAGCTTTCCGACGGCATCAAAAATACGTCGCACCTGATCAGCGTGAAGAAGACGCCCGGCATCTGGCACTACTTGAACTTATCATACGCGAACGGTGAGGTGAACGTGACGGTGGACAGTCGTGAGAAAACGGATAAGATCGGCAATCTGACGTTCGCGATCGGTGATAAAATCAAAGTGGCGGCCGGATCCAGATCGAATTCGGGGTTTTTGGGGTGTATGCGTGATATCGCGGTGAACGGGGCTCGGTTAGAGCCCAGAAGCGTGCTCCAAACCGAAAGGGTAGTGGGTGAGGTGACGTTGGACGATTGTCGGTTCGTGGACGCGTGCTTGAGGCCGAACACCTGCGAACACGGCGGTAAATGTTCGGTGAAGGAGGACAGGCTCACGTGCGACTGCACGAATACCGGCTACATCGGGACGAACTGTCATTTCGCGTTGTACAGGAAGACGTGCGAGGAGTTGGCGCTGTTAGGTGAGAAACGTTTGATTTTTGTTTTTGTCGAATAATTTTAGAAGAACATGCCAATTTTTCTGTGGGCAAGGTTAATATTTGAGTTAGAAAATACTTCAAATCTAAAGAGTGGACTACGGTTCAAAATAGATAAATTTACTTTTTCTATACTAAGTAGCACTTTGGTATAAATAACTAAAGTATTTACTACAATTCGAATGCCAGATAATTAGATTTTAAGACGAAAATGATGTGCGGCGTGACACCTCAATAATGATTTATCTATTTGTTTCTAGTTAATACTTGGTTGCGCAGTGCTAAGCTCAGTATCATATTTTGGAGTGCGAAAATTATGATATGATTTAGAAAATATAACCAACTTTGCGGAGAGGCATAATTATATGTGGACAACAAACCTATTCAAGTTGTAGAGTCTGTTAAATGTCCGGGTCTACATATTGAATGGAATATGAAGTTTTTGATTTGAGATTGTTGAATTCAAATAAATATGTATTGTTGTATGACATGAAAATACAGTTATGTAAGAGTTTTTCTTTCTCGTCTGTCTTACTGCAATTTTGTTTGTTACCTCTGTTTAGACACTGTGACCTCTTATCTACAGAAAATTCAGAATACTTGTTGTCGCTTTGTTTCTAACTTACGCAAATTTAACTATTTAGCCGGAGTATTCAAGAAATTAAATTGGTTACTAATAAAAATTATTGTCAAGCACAACTAAATATTTGGATGACAAATTAGAATTTAGGAAATCACGCTTACTATGCCATTACATCATCATTAGATCATGTTCTTAAATCAAAGTTTCTTGGTCCGTGCAAAACTTTTAGCTTTTATTTTCTTATATTTATTTATTTACTTCTTCCTGGGCGAAATAGCTAAATTATAAAAATAAAGTATAAATTTAGTCTTAAGGGCTTTGCCCTTTGCAAACTTTATGGCAGATGCTATTTTACTGCTCAAATTTATATTGTAATTTTCATCATTTATTATTAGATGCTAGGTTGGGGTACTTTTTGATATTGCGTTTGTTCTCTCTGAACACATTTTACATTACCACAAGTTTATTTAATAATTGTGACAACTAAACTATTAACCAAAAACCAATGATATTCAGGCTGTCGTGACATGTGTAACAAAGTATAAACTTATCAAAACCTGCTCATTCCCAAAAGGGATGGGATAGATGCAGCACATCTTAAATTATTTGGTACGGATTTAACATTATAGTATTGTAACTGCTAGGGAACTACCTTAAACTTATAGTAGTAGTACCTGCTTTGTTTTCATTCATACGACTCAATGTACCACAACGCACAACCAACTAACGAGTCGAAGTCTCAGTTTCAATCTACTTTTCTTTTTTTTCTTCTCTCTTCTCAAAACCTCCGAACCTTAGAAAAGTATTTGAACGAAGCCTGATGAAACTGTTACAGTTAGGAAGGGAAATTGTAAAGTATATTTTTTCTTTAATTTTTTGACTTAACAGGACAATATTTGTAAAAATTGTTTTATAGATGACCTTCTTCTAACGCGTCATTCTAAACCAACAAAATTTCTAATGGATCCACTGCATTTATGGCTATGTCAAAATCAATCTTCATTATGTCTTGGACGCGAGGTAATAAGCTATTTCGTGTTTATAACGAAGATGAATTTTTCTTCTAAGACTTTCAAGCTACCACCTACTCTCGAAATACCTTCTGATTATCACGGTTCAGTGATTTCACTAGCCATGACCGTAGCTACATCAGCTTCACAGTTTACTGGCAACGGCTTATCTGGCGCCACGGTTGAGTGCTCACATCTCTAGTATAAATAGCACCGCTGATCTGACCTGGCTCAGTTTCATTTTGACAATCGCTGAGTCAAGTCGCTAGAATGTACAAGCTGTTGCCGTTTGTGAATTTCTTGGAGGAGCCGTTCCCGAAGTTGCCTATCGAGATGTGGTGCCTGATATTGCGATTGTTAGATCCAGTGTCGCTGTTAGTCGCAGTGAGGTGTTGCAAGCTGTGGGAAGAAGTTTGCCGTGGGGATCCGCATCTGAAGGAGACTGTTGCTGCTGCAAAGAAGATGGAGACGCAGGAGAGATTCGATATTTTAACCAAATCGACGACGATGGTTACACGCGAAGATGTATCGAGGATATTTGGCAGTAACGTTCAGAAGAAGGTCGAGGTTAGCAGAAAGATGCACCTGCTGGACGAGCACAAGAGGAAGGGGAAGAAACTCGTCGGTCCAATTCGGAGGAAGACTAATGCAAGATGCAATCCTTATCGAATATAAATGCAAATTATAGTGTTTATGTTGTGAATATTTTGACTGAAGTGTATTATAAAATGGTTTTGTAAATAGATAAAAATTAAATGTAAATAGTGTAGTTGCTCCTGTTTGTATTGTATGGAATAGTTTTGTAAAGATGAAATATTTAATTGTATTTATTTGTTGTAAATAAATGTGTGTTAATATAAAATGGCTTTCAATTTAACCAAAACCATTAATACTGCAACTTATATATATCTCGAAAGGTTTTGAGATTTTGAAAATGATGATATTTCAACAGTGGCGCCTAGTTCAGTCACTTAATGCAAGATAATGGCGTGTAATACTGAATTCGTTTACAAAATAACTAAAAAGTGAGGGACAAACGAAGGTCACGTAGAAATTATGAACTGAAATTTCAGATATTTATTTTTATCATTGGTCTATTGGTCTCTAGGTTCAAAAACTTCAACACCTATTTTACCTAGCTAATACATTTCTGTCCATAATAAACAAAACTAGGGTGCTCTGGAAGTGTTTCTAAGAAGACTACTACACACACAAATTACAATATTACATTATTATTATATTGTATTTATTTGCTTTGCATTTACGCAAAAGAAAACTATAAATGGAAATAAGTCTTATTTAACAACAACAATCAAAGAAAAAGTAAATGATATTCAAGGCTGTTATGACATATATAAAAGCAAAGACGAAACATCTTATAAAATTGTGAAATTGTGCTCATTCTCAGAAGAGGTGTTGACGTATGCTACTAATTAAAAATAGACACTACATTGTAGGGTTTTGATTACTTCGGAACTCTCATAAGTTTGTAGTACTAGTATATACGTTGTTTTCATTCATACGATTCAATGTGACACAATAATCTATTAACTTATGTCCTACTGCTTCATTTTCGATTTTCCTTTGGATTAACCAAACATTATAAAAGTACTTAAACCAAGTCTGATGAAGAATTTAAAATGAAGAAGGTACCTTGCAAGATGTTTTCTTTTCTTCTTTTTTTGGCTAAACGCCATAGTCCACATCCGTCGAAATTGTTTTAAAATATAAACTTGCTCTTATTTTAACGCATATTTCTAAAGCAACTTTATGCACTGCATGTCGTAATTAATCTTCATCATTTCTTGGACTCGAGCTTAGCGGATATTTTGCGTTTACAATGAAGATCTATTTTTCTCATCAAATCAATTACGATTACCACGGCTCAGTGATGTCCGTAACCATAGCTGAATCAACTTCACAGTCGACTGGTAATGACTCATGCGGGGTCACGCTTGAGTACCCACGGCTCTGGTATAAATACCAGCGCTGATCCGAGTTTTCATCAGTTTCATTGTGGCAATCGCTGAGTCAAGTCGCTAGAATGTACAAGCCGTTGCCGTTGGTGAATTTCTTGGAGGAGCCCTTCCCGACGTTGCCTATCGAGATGTGGTGCGTGATTTTGCAACTATTAGATCTAGTGTCGCTGTTACTCGCGGTCAGGAGTTGCAAGCTGTGAGAAGAAGTTTGTCGTGGAGATCAGTTGAGGAAGATGGTTACTGCTGCCAAGAAAATGGAGACACAGGAGAGATTCCATATTTTAACCAAATCGACGACGATAGTTACCCGCGAAGATGTCTCGAGGATATTTGGCAGAAACGTTCAGAAGAAGGTCAAGGTTACCAGCAAGATGCACCTGCTGGACGAGCACAAGAGGAAGGGGAAGAAACTCGTCATTCCAATTCGGAGGAAGAGTATTATAAAATGGTTTTGTAAATAGATAAAAATTTAATGTAAATAGTGTGGTTGCTCTTGTTTGTAATTTGACAAAATTTTATTTTGTGTAAAATACTTTTGCAAAGATAAAATATTTAATTATATTTATTTGTTGTAAATAAATGTGTATTAATATAAAATTGCTTTTAATTAAACCAAAACCATTAATACTGCGACTTATATTTCAATATCTCGAAAGGTTTCGGGACTGTTTGGAAATTTAGAAATTTTGCTGATATTTCAACAATGGCGTCTAGTTCGGTGATCCACTTAAAGCAAGATGGTGCGGTGTAATATCGTTTTCGTTTACAAAACTAAAGAGTGAGGGAGAAACGAAGGTCACGTAGAAATAATGAATGAAATCCACTTGTCTCCTCACCAGTTTGGCAATAGAGTGAGTTTCCCAAAGTGGATGATTGTTCATCCACAAATTGGACAGCGTAAATAAAACCATTTTAACACTTATTTTACCTAACTAATACATTCCTGTCAATAATAAACAAAACTAAGGCGCTCTGGAAGTGTTTCTAATAAGACTACTAGACTATACACACACAAACTACAACATTACATTATTATGTTATTGCATTTATTTGTCTTGCATTTATGCAAGAGAAAACTATATATGATATCTTTTTTAACAACAATAATCAAAGAAAAAGTAAATGATATTAAAAGCTGTCGTGACATATATAAAAGCAAAGACGAAACATCTTATAAAATTGTCAAATAGTGGTCATGCTCAGAGGGGGTTGAATCATATGCTCATAAATTTGTAGTACTAGTTTATACGTCGTTTTAGTTCATACGACTCAATGTGGCACAATAATCTATTAACTAACGTCCTAAAGCTTCGGTTTCGTTTTTCCCTTGGATTTACCAAACACTAGAAACTTACTTAAAACCAAATCTGATGAAACTGTTAACATAAAGAAGGAAGCTTGCAAGTCTTTTTTTTTCTTCGTTTCTCGACTAAATACCATAATACCAGTCCACATACGACGACATTGTTTTAAAATATAAAGTGTGGTCTTTTTCTAACCCGTCCTTGTAAAGCAAGTTGATGGTCAACAGAATTTCATTGGGTCCACTGCATGCAGTAATTAATCTTAGTTATCTCTTGGGCGCCAGTTTAGATGGTATTTTGCGTTAAAACTCATCAAATACCTTAATATTACCCCGGTTCAGCGATGTCATTGGCCATCACTGTAGCTGAATCAACTTTACAGTTGACTGGTAACGGTAACACGATGGTCTTATTCTAACGCGTTATTCTAAAACCAGTTTATGGCTCAATTTCCAACGGATGGCATTTATTGCTACGTCAGAAATTAATCTTCATTATGAATGGACGCTAGGTAGTCTTGCGTTTATAATGAAGATGAATTTTTCTTTTAAGACTTTCAAGGTACCATCTACTCTCGAAATAGCTTCTGATTATCACGGTTCAGTGATTTCACTAGCCATGACCGTAGCTACATCAGCTTCACAGTTGACTGGCAACGGCTTATGTGGCGCCACGGTTGAGTGCTCACATCTCTAGTATAAATAGCACCGCTGATCTGACCTGGCTCAGTTTCATTTTGACAATCGCTGAGTCAAGTCGCTAGAATGTACAAGCTGTTGCCGTTTGTGAATTTCCTGCAGAAGCCGTTCCCGAAGTTGCCTATCGAGATGTGGTGCCTGATATTGCGATTGTTAGATCCAGTGTCGCTGTTAGTCGCAGTGAGGTGTTGCAAGCTGTGGGAAGAAGTTTGCCGTGGGGATCCGCAGCTGAGGAAGATGGTTGCTGTTGCCAAGAAGATGGAGGCACAGAAGAGATTTGATATTTTAACCAAATCGACAACGATAGTTACCCGCGAAGATGTCTCTAGGATATTTGGCAGAAACGTCCAGAAGAAGGTCGAGGTTACCAGGAAGATGCACTTGCTGAACAACAACAAGAGGAAGGAGAACAACTTCGTCGGTCCAATTCGGAAGAAGACTAATGCGAGATGCAATCCTTATCGGATATAAATATCAATAGTGTGTATAATTGACTAAATAATTATCTATAGTCTAAGATCTTGTGAATTGTGTATATGGGATTCTATTGTAAATAAATGTGTGAATATAAATCTAAGTTTTATTTAACAAAAACCCAGTATTCGTGGTGGCCTATATTTTAATATCTCGGAATGTTTAGCGGATAGTGGTAGTATCCACATTTCTGCTTCTACTTTTGCTTGATGATACCTCAATGATGATTGGTATATGAGAGAAGACTCATTTTACCTAGCTAAGACATTCCTGACAAAAGTAAATGAAACTAAAGGTTCTGCACTGAAGCGCATTCAACAAATGTACAGCATTGCATTAGTATAGCATTGAATTTATTTGCTTTGCATTAAAACAAACAAGCTAGAAATACAAAAATAGTAATTTATATTGTAATCTTAATTTGTCCATGAATCCCAAAAGGGGTGGAAAAGATGCTACACATGTTGAAGCATATGTTCCGGTTTACCTCGAAACTACCTTAAATTTGTATCTATTTAGTTTTTATTCATGCGTTTAATATGGTACAACAACCTATCAACTAGACACTCAAAGCTTGAGTTTTGATTCCTCTTTGGATTTTCCAAACATTAAACCAATGATGTAATTGTTAAATTAAAAAAGAGTATTTTTTGTTTCTTTTTTCGGTGAACACCATGATGTTAGTTTTCTGTTTTACAACGTAATGTGCCAATTTCACTACCGTCCTTTTCTTTTGCGGCTATGTTATAATTTTTTGGGACCAAGTTTCTGGAAAATTTTGCTTTTACAATGAAAATAAATTTGTCTTCTAAGACTTTCAAAGTACTTTCCGAGTTTCACGGATCAATGTGCTAACTAGCGGTGACCGTAGCTGAATTAACATCATAGTTGACAACGGCTTGTATCAGGTCACAGTTGAGTGTCTACGGAACTAGTATAAATAGCATGGTTGATCTGACCTGCCTCAGTTTCAATTTAACAATGATTGAGGTTACCAGAAAGTGCAACACCTGGATGAGAACAAGAAGAAAGAAAAGAAACGTGTTTGGTCAATTCGGAGCAAAACTAATGCGAGGTGCAATCCTTATCGGATTTAAATGTCAATACAGAATGTTTTTGTAATAATTACATATATTAATTAGGATTAATTATCTAAGATGTCTAGTTTAAGTTGCTCGTCTGTTTTTTGGCTGACTTTTGCATATATGCTGATGTAAATAAATGTGTGTTAATAGAAAGTTGCGTTTTATTTAGCGAAAACTGTTGATGATGCCACTTACATTTCAATATCTCAAAATTACGCTGATATTCAAGCAATGGCGTCAAGTTCTGTATTCCGCTTATTGCAACAATGGAGTCCGAATAATACCGAACTGTTCATTCATAAAATAATTAAAGTCAGGAACTAATAGATAAAAATTACATAGTAATTTTGGATGAAAATCACCTTGTCGCTATGTCGTCAGTGATGTAAGAAGGAGGGCCAAGAGGGATTTGATAATTTATTTGGTAGAAATGTTCACAAAATGGGTCGATATTACTATGGAAGATGCACTTCAATGTATGAAACGAAGAGGTCTCTAGGTCCAATTCGGAGCAAGACTAATGCAAGGTGCAATGATTTAATTGCAAATCTTCAATTTTTCGCATATAGGTCTCATTTGAAAAATAAATACATAGATGTATGTTTTTTTATTGAATTGTTTAAATCGAATGCTAATGTCACATAAATACGTGAAAGCATGCTTTATTACGCTGCAACATTTGATTTGTTTTCAAGGGTATACCAAGCCCGATGTCTATCTTATCGATATCGACGGTAACGGGAGATTCCCACCAGCACACGTTCGATGCGAATTTCAGAGTATCGAAGAGTCCACTAAGACCATCGTCGAACACAACCTCCCCAGTCAGATAGACGTGCGATCTCCTTCGGAGAAAGATTTTAGGTAACACCCTCGTCGACACTTTTTGGCAGTAGCCACGCAACCGTTGAAGTTTAGTTTCAGCATTAAATACAGAGAATTTAACGCCGACATGCTACAAGAACTCGTTTCCCACTCCTTGAACTGTAGCCAATACATTAAATACGATTGCCTCAAAGCTCCTCTCGAGTTGCATTCGGCGACTTGGTTCATAAGCTCCGCCAATCAGACGGTCGACTTTATAGGCGACGTCAAAAGGTTTGGGAGTTCCCATCGAGTAAAATCGATCACATAACGAATCTTATACAGGGGTACGTGCCCTTGTTCCGTAGGAAGGAAATGCGAGAATCCTCAGCAGTGGTGTAACTGTGACGACATTAACGACGACAAATGGAACACCGATGAAGGATATTACACCACCGGAGATAGTTTGGGTATCACCGAGATGGTGTTCCTGCAGCAGCCGGACCTGACCGAGGACGCCTTAGGAAGGATTACCCTGGGACCACTCGAATGTGTCGAAACGAGTAAGTTTGCCGACCAGTAATCGTGCGCATGTGACCGCAGGCTTTCAACCGGCCATTATTTTAAGTGTTCTTAAAATTTACGGAGCAATTCTAACCTTCATTATGATTCATCATCCAATTGTCGGACGCTTAGTTACGAGAGGAAATACAAATTAAATCTAATGAAATGCTGCTGCCAAACCAGTCAAAGACCTCGTAAGGGTCGTGCTTGTCTTAAAAATGTACTGCGTTGTCTAACGAAACGATTAAGAGAAGATTGCGTGGGCAGCAAACGCGATATTAATAAAATAATAATAAAATTGGGAGGATGTAATATTTTTCAGATACACAACGGTATGTCGTGACTTTCACGACGAGCCAGTCGTACATCGAAGTGCCAGGGTGGAGAAAGGGCGACCTGGCGTTTTCGTTCAGGACCACCGGAAAGAAGGCGATATTGTTGTATCAGCCTCCAATCAGGCCCAACTATCCGAGCTTTATGGTGGCTCTGACTAGCGGTAACGATAAATTATTATTTCACGTCACATTAACTACTATACTATATCGATATTGCTAGAGTCTATCACAAAAATAAGAGATTTCTTTAGATTTTCCGGTTTCTCCGTTTATTGGTGCATTTGAGGCCAGACAAAGATCGGGTTGTTGTGAAAATGACCTAACCACTAAGAAATTGAAGATTGTCAGTCAATTGTACCCTAACTTGCCAGAAACCACTAATGTGGTTTCTGGCAAGTTAGGGTACTATTAAGGTATAGTATATCTCAAAGTATGTCGTATTGCTTCCGTTAGCTTCGGACCCCTATAAATCTTATGGACGGACTCTAATATTTATATTGATTTCATCTTCGTTTAGCTTCTTTTTCTCTTCGCTTTGACGAAGAGAATATAATTTCCTTCTTATTGTCATTTTCACACTTATTATTATTTTCTTTTATATAATTCTTAATTAGTAATACTATTCCTTTACAACATTTGTTTAATAAAACCTCTAAACTTTCGTACATATTTTTCACAATCTGTTTTGAATTCAATTATTAGTTAAAACTGTAGCAATATGGATGAGTAAATTATTTATTGATGGGTTTGCGCAATCGATGAATATTTAGTTATTATTTATTATTTCAGTGTCGTCTTTGGGGTCAGAATAACTTTTATTTAGACATGTCCGGCACTGTTTTAAAGGTTTTATTACTTTTTGTTATTGTGGAACTTTTATGTCCCTCGATAATTTTTGGTAACTTGTTTTGTTGTCAAAGAAAAACCTCTCATCACCACTAATATTACTGCAAAATTATAACAAAATCGGACCAAGAAAATGTTCCGAATGTTAAGACAACAAATACATTTTTCTTTGGCACCTTTAAAAGTCGACAACCTGTAGTTACACTTCATATATAATAATATTAATATACGTAAATGACTATTTAATCAACATGACAAAAAAAAGTTTATATAAACATATATTGTTTATATTCTAAATTAGAGAACACATTATTTATTATTTATTTATTAAAAATATTTGAGTTAACTCGATGCTCGAGTTTTTTTTGTGCAGTGGTATTTAAACTGAAATATGGAAATCTATCTACAGAAACTTCTATTTTTACATTGAAAATAACTTTCTAAATATTTGGCTATATGTACTTAAGGACCAGCCTATGTGTTAGAGTTCATACTACGATGGAAGGCTTTTGTCTGTAATATTGTATTGGTCCAAAAAACAGTAAATTTTTCCTACTTGTATTACGTTTCGTCTCACATCAGTTTGACCACATTGCACTCCTTTCCAATGATGGAATTCTGCAAACCATTTAGTCTATAACTACTTGGTCACGTCGTTGTCCTTAGAATACTTAGTGATTAAGGAATGGTTCATGTTAGCTATAACAACTTTGCTAACTACTACTTTGTAGACTTTCAGCTGACCTTCAATTTCACTTTGAACACTGGCGTGTCGAAGGAATTGGTAATAGTTTCCGGTCGCCGACTCAACGGAGGTGAATGGCACAAGCTCTGGATCGATTACAACAAGTACCACGTCCGATTCATGATCAACGAAGATTACCAAATGGTCGACTTGAAACCGGAGGAGGAATTCGGCCCGTTTGAGGGTTCCATGTTTATCGGTGGCGCACCATAGTAAGCCCCCAGACTCACCAAATTTCTAATAAAGTTGCTCTAACGATTACCACCTTTTAGTGATCTTCTGGACCCGAAATCATCGGTGCATCAGGGATTGATCGGCTGTTTCAGGGGGTTGGTCGTGAACGAAGAAATTTTAGACATTTATAGCTACATGAGCGTTCACCTCAGCGAAATCATCAAGGATTGCAAGCCATCGTGCGTTCCCAATCCTTGTCAAAATGGCGCCCAATGTCGGGAGCTTTGGAGCACGTTCGAGTGCGTGTGCCCCAATCCTTGGGCGTACAAAGGGGAATTTTGCGAAATCAGTGAGTCATTTTATTAGTCTTCTGGATATTCTCCAAATGGGAACAATATGAAAGCTATGAAGCACTATAACTCTCAAAACGTAGCAACTTTTTATACGATTATGTTTTTTTTTATTAGGTTTGAGTCTCAAACACCAGCTATTTCTTTCAGAAAGGGCAGTTTGTCTACAATCAGTTGGTGATTTGTATAGGATCTCTAAAATTTAAGTGTGACTCTGCATGGTTAGCAAATTTTAGATTCAAAGCAATAAAAGCAAGCTGCTTTTTGTATTCAAGTGACAATAACAACAACATTATATATCGGGTATTGTTGTTTATTTATTTTTGTTATCAATTAGACATAAACACGAACGCGTTAACCTTTACCCATCCCGAGTCGTATCTTCATCGGAATTATTTGACCAACGAGACTGGCGACGAGAAAGACGTCATGAGGAGCATCTTCGAGGAGAAGATTCTCCTAAACCTACGAACCTACGATAATGTGTCGTTGATATTCTACGCCAACGATCATCTCAACAATTTCGTGCACCTGTACATCGACAACGGTAAATAATATCGAACGAGCCGATGGAAAATTTAACGCTTTTCTTATCAGGAACGCAGGTGGTTTACCTATTCAATTACGAAAATGAAATTTTCAACGTCACCGTCGATTATCCAGAACTGAACACCAGCAAGTCGGTTCAAATCGCGATCGAACGGGACGAGAACTCAACGACCGTTCACGTGAACGATAAAAATGCCACAGTGCCTATCGGCGTCAAGTTGCTGGAGAAATATTCCAACAAGCCTTGGATCAACACAGAAAAAGGTAGAAAGCAGAAATGAAATGTGGCAATTAGCAGAATTTTCAATTTCAAATAGAATAGACTGCACAAATAACTTACAATGTTCACATACATCTTTCTCACCATCTATTCCACTTAACATATTTCTACTAATAACCAAGTCCAGGAATATTCTTGACAGCAATCGATTTCGTGAGATAAACACTGAAGTTTCCTTGTTTAAGTTCCTATGAGCACACAGCAGTTTCTAATTTATTAAGATAATTGTAACGTTTTGTAGTTACCTGAGTCGTTTTCTACATAAATATAGGTATTCAGCGATTCGCCCTTTTTCTAGTTCTTTCAAGAGTCCTCCAAGCATGCCCATTTTGCCTGTTTGGGCACTCCATTGTACCTTTTTTAATAACACTGATTCATACGTTTCCTTCGTGTTCTTTGTATGTTTTCACTTTTTCTTCTGTCTGAGATTTTTTCGCTTATTAACTAGACCTGAGACATGGTTCAATAATAATAAAATGCTTCGGTATCAAAGGCAAGACTCAAACTTGTCATTTGCTTAATTCGTAAATTACGAATTATTCTTAATGTACATGAAAATTGTGATATTTCCCTGGATTCCACGTATAACTGTCTTATTTTGCCGTTTGGGGCAAAAGAACAGCTTCAAGGTTCAAGAAATGGTTATTCTAGTTTGATATGGAGCACATTTTTGAACCAGTTTGTTTTTGGCACACCATGCGTTTTCATATATTTCATATTAATTGACACACTAAAAGGCACTTCTCAAAAATTGCTTTTACAGTGTGCTAGACACTTACGCTTTTTGCTCTGGCGGTACACCTTTTTATGTTATTCTACTATTTTTGGCGTATTACCTTCCTTGAATGACGTCACGCCGGTTTCAAATAACGTATTTCTTATATTATAGTATACAGTAATATCTATGATTGTTGTATGACTGAGTCGTGTTGCATTTGAAGCTCGTTTAAATTACGTCATGAATTTTGCGGAAGGATTGCATTTTAACCTTGATCTTTTTCCAATTGATAAAAAGCCAAGATATTCAAAACTATCAGCTGTGATTGTATCTTCGCTGCATCTTGCAAAAGTTTGCAAATAATTACAACAAATCAATGTTAATTTTGACGAATATATTCTGAAAGGTACAAAAAAAACCAGCATTGACTGTTATTAAGAAACGACAACGATTTTTTTCAGTCAGTTGACATAAATTAAACAAAAATAACCAAAATTGACATCATTCGAATTCGATGTTGGTTTACCGTTTCTCTGATATGTTCTTGGTCTCCATTCAATAAGTCTGTGAATCGATTTGGTGCCTTTCCCTCTAGTTATGTGGCCTGCCCATTTCAATTTTAGTACTGAGGCTCTAGATATGATATCTGTGACTCTTACTCTATTATGTAGGATATCATTTCTTGGCTTGTGCCTCAATATTACTCCCAGCGTAGATCGTTTCATCGGCCTTTGGGCTACTCTTAGCTTCGAAACACTGCTCTTTGTAACTGGTATCGTTTCTGTCCCGTAAGTGAACATTTGTCTTCACTTCAAATGCTGCCCTAATTGATATCATGCATGTAGGTGGGTGTTAATTTTGAAAGATAGAAAAAAAAAGTGTAAATACAAAAGTTTGAAGATTTTTGCTTTATTATCTTATGCAAATGTCAGAAAAAATAAACGCCGATCACATGCTGTCGAAATATATATTATCAGCTTAAATCGTAGATTTTTTTCCTGATTTCAAAAACGTATAGTTTATTTAGCCGTTTTTGAGATATTTCATTTTAAAAATTATTATCATTCGATTTCTGGACAATAGCCATATTGTTTAAAAATGATCAAGTCTGCTTTGATAGCAACCATATTATCTATGTTTGCAATCAGGAAAAAAATGTACGATTTGAGCTAATAACATATATTTGCATAAGATAATAGAGCAAAAATCTTCAAAATTTTGCATTTACACTTTTTTTTCTATTTTTCAAATAACCCTACTACCCTACCTACCCGGTATTAAAACGATGTCATCAGCGTAGTCCGTCCACGCATATTCCTTTATTACTCCGTGGCCACCTTGTATAATGTGTAAATGAATGTGTTGGCGCCACAAAATGATGTTGCCGTTTTAGAGGTGTTGGCGCCCCAAAGACCTCCCGCTCCTCCTACAGAATATTTCCAATTGAACCTGGGCGGTTATGACCCCGAAACCTTATTAAAAGTGTCCAAGTATCCCGCCCGTCTTCCCGGTTACGTGGGCTGCTTCAGGGGCCTCCAAATCGGCGACACTCTAATCGACTTGCCTCCGAAAATAAACGTCAGCGATAAAGGTGGGTGCGACACCAACCGCACGGCCGTTTAGATGCTAACTAGGATGTAATTAGGTGTCATAGCGCATTGCAACATGAAGTGCGACGCCGAACCGTGCAAGAACAAGGGGAAGTGTATCGAAGATTTCCAGAACCAGGAGCACACGTGCGACTGCGAGCACACCAGCTATTACGGGGAGTTTTGCAACGAGGAAAAGGGAGCGGATTTCAACGGGGAAGCGATCCTCTCCAGGGTATATGTGCTCAACGGGACGGTGGACCACGTCAAGATCCAAGTCGCCTTTTCCAGCGTCGACGTTCGGCAAAAGAGTACCGTGCTTCTGTTGTTACAGACCGAAAACAAGTAAGATTTATATTCCTGGAGGCATCCATGTTTATATGTTTTAATCCTGCAAACGGAACCTCCTCATTTTAGCGTTTTTTTTTCTATTCCTGCAGGTTTATACCTAACCGCCTCGTTTGAGGCTATTTTTTTTTCTAATCGTGCAACTTCCTTATTTGAAGCTATCTTTTTCTTCAAAATAGGAGCAAACTATATCTTTCTAATCGTGCAAAATAATCGCCTCAATTTCGTCGAATCTTGCAAAATAGGACGAACCTAACCGCCTCTTTCGAGGTTTTATTTTTCTAATCTCGCATATTGGGACGCGGAATCAAACCTTTATCCCCTTCATTGTTATAATGCAGACACGGTTTAGTACCTAATCGCCTCATTTGAGGCAAAATTTTTCTAATCTTTCAAAATAGGACCCGTCTAACATGTAAAATAGGACGAATCTAGCCTCAACTTTTGGGACTATATATTTTTAACCTTGCAAAATAGGCGCTTGCCTTAATCAAGCACGGAGAATGATTAACTTCCTCAATTATTATTGACTTCCATTGTAATAGATCATTTTAGTTCAGAGGCTCTAGATAACTGTGCCTCAATGTTACTGCTAGCATAGATCGTCCCATTGCTCTTTGGGCTACTCTTACTTTCAACAAACTACTCTTGTAACTGGTATTGTTTCTGTCCCGTAAGTCAACATTTGTCTTCACTTCAAATGCTACCCTCCTTGATATTTTGCATGCTTGATTATCTTTATTATTTTAATTTAATTTTAATTATCTTCTTGTGCTACCGGTATTAATCTAGTCTAAACTTTTGGAACTATATGTTTTTACTCCTGCAAAATAGGCGCTTACCTGAATGAAGTACGGAGAATGATTAATTTCCTCAATTATTTGTTCATGACAAACTTCCACTGTAACAGATTATTCTGAATTTTTCTGGAAGTGCCCTTAAATATCAAAGAATTTTTTACGTGCTCACTTAGAGTTGTATTTGATTCAGGAGAAAAAAAATGAGTCCACGAAATATCCCGGGATTCCCCAAGAGCCAATTCAAAAGTTCCTCAAAAATTTAATACAATTAATAATTTTTAATAAAATATATGTATTCTTTGCAGAATCTAATTGAGCCCTAATATTGATCGAATATTGCTTTTAGAATTTTCATGTCTTCTTATTTTCAAACTTAAATGTTCTAAATCCAAGTCTTTACTAAATTTCCGCGTTTAACTCTTTCCTTTACTTACATCATCTTTTTCAATGGTAATCCCTGCCTACCTTTTGCTTTTAATTCTAACCTTTCCTGGGACTACTCCTATAGTACACAGTGAATATAAATTGTCAGAAATACACAAAAACAGAAGCACACGCACTCTATTAGTATTACTTTTAAAAAACCGATGAAATCTCGAGTAATGGTTGTTCGTACGGGGTTGCCGTCGGTACAGATCGATTCAGAATTAAAAAAAATGTTTCGAAATCCAAAAAAAAATTTTTCGCGAAAACCCATTATCCGATAGACAAAATTATTGAAATAAATAAGAACTTAAAGTTCAGTTTTTAGCGAAATTATATATTATGACATGACAATTGTTTCGGACAATTGTTCTGGAAGTGTCTGTTATCGGCAAATAACCTAAATTACCTTCAAAAGTGTCTTTCTTGGAGCAAATTAATAGTCCTAATTCTAAAACAGTTGCGAACATCGCCTTTTGGTTTGAACGTTTTTATAGGTAGATTAGAGAGCTTCAATTTTTGCATTTACTGTTTTCGTTTGTTCTACAGGGTGCGCGATAAATGCCCTAGAAAAGGTTTAGTCGAACTCGCGCGATATATTAGACCAAAACCCTCACGTCCCTACTTAAAACGATAATATCGGCAATAAAAGGCTTGTATATCCACCGAATCACGCTGCGTGGGTCCGTTGTTAGGGCGTCGGAAACGCCACGGGGGGTTCAAACCCAGGTCATTCTTTTTCATTTTGAATATTTAATTTTATTATATTCTTGCGTCGCGTCTGCTTAATTTCTTTAAATTATTGTAACTGAAGTTTTTTAAGACGAAACCTTTTTTCATTCAATTTTTTTTCAATTCAGGAGTTTATTTCTTTTTCCAAGTAACACGGGTGACGGACTTTGAGTGTTCAGTCTTCGGAAAACTTTTTCATTGTTTTTACTTTCAACAAGCCTCCAGTAAACCACAAAACCGCCAGAAAACTGGATACTATTAACCCTCTTTGACGTTTCCTTGGGTTAGCTTCAGCAAACTCTCCTATTTAAACGACGACTTTGGTTTAGACCATCGCGGGGGGTCAAAATCGCCAGCGCGATTAATAGTCTAGCCTAACATAAACACTAACTCTAATAAAAAAAAACAAGAGAACAGGAAAGGACTGAAATTAATAATTATAGTTAATGGGGCAATAACGTTTTTACCTTAGTAATTGATTGCGAAAATAAGTCCAAATTGTGTCGAGCATTGTACTTGGAGTACATTGAGAAAATAGAGTTAGTACGGGGTACCCGAAAATTTAGTCTATTTTATAGGTCAGAGCAATCAAACAAGTTATTTAAAATTTTAAATAAAGTGATTAACTAATGGTAATCATGGCGATCACTAAGAGACACATAACCTAATCTATTTAATCGTATTCTATGCCAAAAACCTGGCGGGAGATATACTCCTTCCAACTTATACCATACATACTTCAAAAACTTACGCTGAATCCAGGGTATTCATATACTTTTTGATTCTTCTGCCAGTACCTTATTAACATGAGGAGCAAAGGTCCAATATTACTTCCAAGTCTCAAAAAGTGTTAGAGCGAGAGATAGTTTTATCAAAAAGATGATAGTCATATTTCATAGCTGCGCTCATGGTGCTAATAGAAATTACATTACACTTGGCTGTATTAAGTTGCAAGGGACCAATTGTTGATTTGCTCCAAACTGCGCTGAAAGTCATTAACAAAAATGTTGAATAATAATGGCCCCAATATCGAGCCTTGAGGAAGGCCTGAGGAAGCAATGTATTAAAAGTGTGACCATAGAAATAGACGTACTGAGTGCGGTTAGACAAGTATGATGAAACCAACTTAACAAGCGATTCGGACAATCCAATGGCATGGAGCTTATGGATTAGAATTTTGTGATCTAGGTGATTAAAAGCTTTTTTCTACTCCCGTTTGTAAAATATCTAATTACGCACCGATCTAGCGTGCGGGAAGCGTCACTTCACCACGTCAGTTTCGTTTCCAACGAATCCGAGGCACTTCGGACATTTCCGGGATTTTACCGCACGGGTTTGGGAGCAATCGGATGTTTTCGGAGATATTTCCCACGCTTTGAATTTTGACGTTTGTCAATTCTGACAGTCATGTCAGTGAATATATTCACTGACAAATGTCACCGACCAAATATGTAAGTCCTCCAAAAATACAACATCAGAATCAGATTCTCTACTTTTGCAAAAATCTACGATCTCTCACAGCACCATAACGTGCAGCTGTGGAAAAGAATTTACTGGAGAAGCAGGTTTAAAAATATCAACCATCTGAAAAGGGACCATCAGATTTTATGACAGAACTAACAAATACCTCTATCAAAGTAAAGTACGGGAATCCATTGCAATTTTTGTAGTGTATTTATGCAGTTACCCACCGATCTAGCGTGCGGTAAGCGTCACTTTACCACGTCAGTTTCGTTTTGAATTTTGTCGTTTGTCAATTCAGACGGTTATGTCAGTGAACGTATTCGTATTGTTTTGCGAAAATGTATCCAAAAACTAACGGTTGTAGAAAAAGTATAGTATGCAACACGTTCGGTAAACTTTTTAACTCACTCGTTTATTAAACACTCGCTCCGCTCCTGTGAAATAAGCTCGTGAGTCAAATGTCGCACTTGTTGCACAATATACTATTGAAAAATCATTGTCATCATTTGAGAACCTTTATCAATAGCCTCAGAAATATACTGAGACCTAGTTAAATTGTTACTGGTGGATCTTCTTTAAAAAAAAACTGTATTGTTGGGGAATTATTTGGTTTTGTCATTTTGTCCTGTAGAGAGAACTTTCCAGAAATTGCAGATAAAGAAAATAGCCCTATAGTTTATGATCTTCGATCTACAGTTTTTTTTTGTTGGCGGGAATAATTTTAGACATTTTCCCTATACCAGGAACGACTTGGTTTCTCAGACACACATTAAAAAGTATTAGAAGCGGTTTAGCCAGATCAAACCTACAGTCATGTATAAGGAAGCTTATAATTCTTTCATAACTGGAGTTTCGACCAGGTGTTTAACTAACGGACATTTCCACTTGGATTAATTAGACAATTACTCTATTGACTAAAGTGACATCTAACTTTCAGTTACTCACATCGTCCATATTTTCGGCGTTACCTTGGTTGGTAGAGGAACCTAGAAGCAACATCGAGATGATGTATTCCCAAAAAAAGCGAATAAGCCAGAAGTTAAAAAATGTTGTTATTTGACATTTCGTGATATATTATATTTTTTGATTAAAGGTTTAGCTAAAGCTTATGGTAGTTTGGTGGTTTAATACATTTTTGAAGTGCCTTTTTTTTGTTCCTATTTTAATTTTTCTGGACTCCTAATTATACCAGCTACGAGAAAGATACCTTCTTCTTGTTCTTGCCCAGATATCTTCTCGATAAAGATCTCTGTCTCCTGCCACATGGAGCAATTGTTTTTTTCTGGAGATAACCTTTCCGTTTTCCGTTTATCTATTTTTTCTTGCATTACTGCCCGATTTCAGTCGAAGCTACTACTTGCTGGTTGGGCTAAGTCTCGAAGGTTACCTGATAATCCAGGAGGATAGAGAGGGAGCCGTTTTTTCGGCTACGGTGAACAAAAAGAGCTTCATCAACGGCGCGAGACACTCGATTTACTACAAACGCGATTTTAACGAATCGGAATTGTACGTCGACAGGGAAGTGACCCCCATGGAGCAAATTCCTGCTCAGACGTTCACGAACATTCCGGAACAGGGCGAGAACGAAGTTCAGGTGGGGGGTCAAGAGACCAACGATCCTCGTTTCGCGATTTACAAGAAGTTCAGCGGATGTTTGTCGAGTAAGTTTTTGTTTTCAGCTCCCGTATCGATATAATCAGGGAGGAATTTTTGGCAGACATCGTCATCGAGGTGAACGAGCACGTGATGAAGCCTTTGGAGGAGTATATGTTGTTTACGAAAACTGGAGCGGAGAAAGTGAATGTGTCGAACTCGCATGGGGTGAGGAGCGCCCAGTGCAGTGCGGATTTCGATGTGGTCCACGAGAAGACGGCGGGAACACCAAATCTGAATATCAGCCAGGTAAGACGTACTTGGTATCCAAATTTTCAAAGAAACTTTCACAGGCTACTGTGATACTTTTTACAAATCACCTGGATTACTACTGCATCAGTTGTTGATGAATCGAACTCGCTGACGTTTCGCCAATCATCCTGTTATCTTCTTCAGAACTGAAACTCAAGAACCCCACAGGGTAATTGGCGAAACGTCAGTCAACAAGTTAGATTTATCTACATCTACGTGGATCGGAATATGCTAGAATATGCTATATATTATGCTATATACATACACACATACACAAATGGAAAATACAGAACTTGTCACACATCTTTCTTTACATTTTCATGGTGCCGCACATTATTCTTCTTTTGTCCCAGAACACACACTATCCTTACCTCTCCATATAAATGTAACTCACATTTAATAAATATATACAAAAATATCTAGGAAATTAACCCGTTGTATCATGGCCGGTAAGTGATAAAACTTTCATCATGGTGGTCAGTGGTTCTCAAACAATCTAGATCAATAAATGGACAGTAGGCAAGGTATTATATTAAATATCGCACATCCATATCATGTAAACCACAGTTATAAAAATTGTAGGACACATTGAGGTTATGAAGAAGTTCCTCGTTCAGAAAAGATTTTTGAAAATTGCATGTCTAAAGGAGTCAAAATACGAGCAGTTATTCAAATTTTAAAGAGATTTTCCGGATATCGGAAACGACTAATCTTTGGTCCGAGATCTGAAAAATGCTCTCTCTGTTTGATGTTTAAACGGATTGTCTTGGTTGGTTATTTGACTTTATACATATCGTAAACAAACAAATCGGGTCTATCTAGTGCCTCTTCACTCTTTTTCTGAAGTCAGGCTCTAAGGGAGCGAAAATTCTCCTTAACTCAAGGTTGCTGCTTTGCGATCTAGATCATTAAGAAATGATTAAGATCGACACAAAAGTAGCTCGGGCCAATAAAAAAGTAATTAACAGTCGATTAACATGACCTTTCATTGATGGTTAATTCACGAAATAATTCATTCATATTGTAAAAGGGATTACTGAAATGTGGATGAAATAAAGAATAAAGAATACACTTAATTAGTTAGATATAATAATAAAATCTAGGAAAATAAAAGAGGCGGAGGTAGATATTTTCAGAAAATGCTACCTGGTTTATCTAATTATATAATTTTAGTGGTACAGCCTAATAATTATCGCAATATGCTTTAATAACATCTGAAAAAAAAAAACATAAAATTGCCCGCCATTGACGAACACAATTTTTCATTTATTGCCTAAATAAAATTTTTATTCGTTTTGGAAGCACTGGGAAATCTAGAAGCATCGAGAGGTCTTTCGGTTAAAAATTGCCAACTGCAGATTGGAAAATATTTGTAAATTAGATTAGATTAGATTTCGATGAAAATTCCTAACACTACATATGACAATTAGGGTCAAATTCACAAAACCGGTGAAATTATTTTTTTCAAATAGCCAATTCTTAAAATCTTATCTTATTTAGTTGGATCAGTCATAAAGTCTCAGATATATTTAAAATTGACGTTTGCAGATCGAACAAATTGTTCCCATACGAAATTCTTTAAAATTTTACTATATTAACTGTAGGCTGTTGAAAATAAATTTAGTTAGTAATTAACTAGGGATTGAAAAAACTGGGGAAAATATTTGTATCAAATAGAAACCACCAATTTTTATAATACGATCTTATTTACCAATAAAAATTATCACTATATTAGGTTATAACATTGAGAATATTGATAAGTTTCAACGTTCAATCAATCTAAAATAATTTAGAACAGCTTGCCCGCAGCAATCAAATGTTCAAATTTTGTATAGTTATCGTTTTCCCATAACAGATCGACAACGTGAGACACCCTGTATATTGGGTTCCAGTTGTAAAACTATGAATATTCGACAATCTTATCGAATGTTAAGATGATATTAAAATATGTAATTTCTTGGGTTTTTGAATTTTATGTTAATAACTAAAAAAAATGTTATATAAATTTTGCTAAGCAGAGTCTGTATATGATTCTTAACAGAAAATATTATTAAATTAGCGAAATATACATGGAATTGGGTTTCCAAATTTTTGGACGCTGTCAGTAGATATGCTATGCTCGTTCAATAAATTAGCACGAGAACATTTATAGTCCAAAATCGCTTTTGTTGAAGATCGTTGGGACTCCTTAATCACTAAGCCCCTTTGGTACAAAATTCGCTGTATTACGTTTTTATTTGCAAAACTATTATCCACGTTCGGATATAACGCTAGCACTGCCGTAGTAAAACAGTTCGTGATGATACGCGCAGTGACAATAGCTGAGTCGACTTCACAGTTGACTGGTAACGGAAAAACGCGTTACGGTCGAGAGACCTCAGCGCTGGTATAAAGAGCAAAGCCGATCCACGGTTAAGTGCCTACGGCTCTAGTTTAAATAGCAGCACTGATCCGACCTACCTCAGTTTGATTTTGACAATCGCCGAGTCAAGTCGCCAGAATGTACAAGCTGTTGCCGTTTGTGAATTTCTTGGAGGAACCGTTCCCGACGTTGCCTATCGAGATGTGGTGCATGATTTTGCGACTATTAGATCCAGTGTCGCTGTTGGTCGCAGTGAGGTGTTGTAAACTGTGGGAAGAAGTTTGCCGTGGGGATCCGCATCTGAAGAAGACTGTTGCTGCTGCAAAGAAGATGGAGACGCAGGAAAGATTCGATATTTTAACCAAATCGACGACGATGGTTACACGCGAAGATGTATCGAGGATATTTGGCAGAAACGTTCAGAAGAAGGTCGAGGTTACTAGAAAGATGCATCTGCTGGACGAGAACAAGGAGAAGAAGAACGAGAAGAAGCGTGTTGGCCCAATTCGCAGGAAGACTGATAGAAGATGCAATCCTTATCGAATTTAAATTCAACTAGTATCGTTTATTTCGTGTTTTTTTGTCTGAATTGTATTATTTATAAAATGCTTTTGTAAATAGTAGTGTAATAGTGAACATAAGTTGTATTAATATATATTTAGGTTATAGTTTTGATTTGCTCGACGAGGTAATTGTACTGAATTTTGTGTATATAATGCTTTGTTTTAAATAAATTATAATAACAATATGTGCTTTTCTTTTATTTCTTCGAAAACGATCTATCTCGTTATTTTAAAAATGGATCCAAAGACTGCTGAGCGGCAAATTAAACCATCCAGGTCTGTACTACAGTACTACCTTATTTTAAAACTGTTAGGCGGAGGTAGGGATTTTCTAAGAGAAATATTCGACTGCAACGTATATGACTGCACATAAGAGAGTTTATATAAAACGTGTTTTTCGTACCGGGCAGCTTTTAATTAATAAATATGCAGTAAATAGTTTTACTGTGTACATTAGCTTATTTAAAAAAAAAAATGGAGGCTGCAATTATAACGTCTTTTTCCGTTTCCTTCATTATTACCTATTTCTAATGCACCTGTCTCTTCTATTTAGAAATTAGTTTAGGCTTAGCTCATTATTCCTTCGAAAGTTGTTTACAAAAACTTTCACGTAAGCAGAGTGACATGCTTCATTAGTACTGTAACTTTTTAAATATAACTAACAAAATTCATGTACACAGAAAATCTTTAATAATTAATTCTAAGTATGTATAAACTAGGGTGACATAATTAAAAACCGATATTTGGTATGGTCTGTTCATAGATATAAGAAAATGACCAATTGCTTTTGAATGGGATTATCCAAGGGTGGTCATTAACATACAATGCAACAAGATTACCTAAAGTTTCGGAATTTAAATTCAGGTAAAATTGTGGTCCGTAATAGAAAATAATTTTATACCTATCTGTGTTTAATATTCTTTGGTTTGGTTACTACTTAGTTTAAGTTTATTATAAATCATTCTTATTTCGTGTGTAATACAGCGTGTGTTGAATCGTGTGCGAATTATGCAAAATATGTGCGAGTCTAGTGTATCTCAGGAGATGCTCCTGCCCAAATGTAGAAAACACTATTCTATTGAGACTAAGGAACTTATAAACAATGTTTATTCGACTCTCATTGAACGTGGTACCAGCAAGCAAGCATCTTTACAAAAAACGGCTACATTGACGAAAATTCCAATATCAACTGTATGGAAAATTGTGAATAATCCCATTTCAGCGAGGAAAAAAAGAAGCGATGCTGTCATTTTCTCGAGTGTAGATGAAAGTGATCATGATATAATGCAGAGTAAAATTTAGCAGTTATACGAGGAACAAAGCGTGTCTACATTAGATATCTTAATTAGGAGGCTTGAAAAAGATTAAACCGGTGTTATATGTGGCAGAACTACCTTATGGAAGTGTATTCAACACATGGGTTTTAGATTTAAAAAAATTGGCAAAAGGCAAGTTTTAAGGAAATCTTTTAGAATTCGGAAGTGGCGACTGGAATATCTAGAAAAAATTAGGATTTATAGAGATCAACGAAGGCCAATTATTTACTTGGATGAAACCTGGATTGGGTTGACTCAACTGATAAGTGTAAAACAAACGCGCCATCAAAAAGAGGTAAAAGAATAACTATTTTGCATGCTGGCTCTAAAGATGGTTGGATTGCAAATGGAATTTCTATGTCTGCGAAAAATATTAAAGATTCTTCTCTGGCCTGCCAGCAAGACACCACCGCTTATTTATTTAAACGTTGGTTTAAAAACAAACTAGTTCCAAACATTCCTCCTAATAGCGTAACTGTAATGGACAATGCAAGTTATCACAGTAGACACTTGACTAAAACCCATTCCTCATGTGACACAAAAGCAACAATCCAAAACTACATTTATAATAACGACATTTATTTTCACGAAGATTATACCAAAAAGCATTTAATTGAGGTTCTACAAAGTTTGAACCTATCAAAGGAATACGTCTGTGATAGTTATGCAAAAGATCTAGGGCATACAGTTTTAAGGCCTTACCACTGTATATTTAATCCCATTGAACATGTTTGGCATCAACTGAAATCTGCCATTCGTCGTAACAATGTTTTTACCCGTGTTAATTCCAATGTCCTCAAACTTATAGAATGCGAAGTTTTTAACTCTCTCCACAAAGTTGGGCAAATTCTGTTAAACATAGAGAAAAAGCAAAACAGTCGTATATCCATATTGCAAATAATATAAAACAAATAATAATTAGATGATAGCGATAGTGATACTGATATATTATGTGAATAATTTGAAGTATATTAAGTAGGTAATAAAAATTATTTGTAATTTTATTTTGGATTTAAATTGTTGAGTATCTTTCCTAACAAACACCCAAATAATTAAATTCAAAGCAAATTACGGGCCTGTTCGGCCATATTTTATTCTTACGCTTGCCCGGGTCTTTCCTTAATTCGTATCAGTTTAGTCACTTTCTTATAACAGACTTTACCACTTTTACAACACAAAGTAACTAGGCTCAAAATTAAACGATTGAGTAAACGAAAAACATCGTAATTCATCCATCAATGATTAATTACCTAACGTTATAAAAGTGTTACCAAACATTGGTTACCTTTCGGTCTGTTCATAGATATAAGAAAGTGAACAAATGCTTTCGAATGGTCATTAACATACAATGCAACAAGATTATTATTTATTATTTTCTATTACGGACCACAATTTTACCTGAATTTAAATTCCGAAACTTAAGGTAATAATCTTGTTGCCTTGTATGTTAATGACCACCCTTGGATAATCCCATTCAATCTCTATCTTATATCTATGAACCCACCATACCTGTTTAACTAGAATTTATCGCTCTTTATATATTACCTAGAATTAAATGATTATAAGTTGTTGTGTATGTATAGATGAATTGGTTTGTCCTTGTTTTGGGGCTTCGCGTTTCACTCGGAATCATAAAATCTTATTATTTCGAGCGTACCCCTTAGAGGCAATAAAACTTATTTCGGGCTGGATCATAAAACCTTTTCGTTTCATATTGAACCTTTGTTTTGCAATAATATCGTTGTACAGTTTTCTTCTTGAAGGATGTTAACCTATTGAATCCTACTTTATGAAGTGACGACAGTAAAAATTAAAGCCAAGGATAGCTAAAATGTTCGATATCAATGCAGGTGTCATCGAGGGCGAATCGCAGACACAATAGTTTCCAAACCGAGTAAACTCTTGGGAAGAAAAATATGAAACATTTTTCCGGATGTCTTTCAGTTTGGGGCATACGCTATACCGACATACTTGAGCGAGTACAGACCAACCTTTTAAAAAGATTATTGTTACAGGTTCTTCACAATTAAATTACAAAACCTTTAAATCTTGCCTCAGCTATCTGAACGAGAGGATGACATTTTAGAATGTTTTGAAACAAAACTTTTTAAAGCAGCCGGTTTACACTACACTAATTTTTACTACGGCTTTGCATCTTCTGATCTACCACTCAGCTATTTAAATTGGGAATTGCCAACGTCCATTTTAAGAATTATCGCACAATTAAGACCGCGCTTACTTTATTAAACCTGATCAGATTTGCTCCGTATGTTTGTCCGTACACTTAACAATTTGAAAATTTGAAAAAAATTAACCTACAATTTGTATCAGTAGATTTTAAATCACGTGCTGATAGATCCCTATTAGTTTACTATTTTGTTTTTTTTAGGCTTATGTAATGTCTGATGCTGATTTCTGGTTGTAGAAATGTAATTTCCGATAAACAATAAATAAGAATAAACAAAAAAATAACAACTTTCACCTGGTATAGTCTGAAAACGTTTAAGCTTATTTGCATTTTGCCATTTTTGCTCTGGCATGTATAATTTGTTGTTTGAAATGAAAAACCTCATTATATCGGTGCTAATGTTTCTCAAAATCCACAATTCTCGTAGGGGAAGGACAAAACGTGGGTTCAAGACGCTCCCCAACGCATACTATACACGTCCATATACTCTGCCGATTCTATCGAAGAAGACGGCACCAGTCAACTGGTGGTTATAATTTTGGCGTCCTTTTTCCTGCTGGTGTTGGTCTGCATCATCTACGATGTGTACCGCACGAAAAAACGATACAAGCGCAGAAAAGAGTACGAGACTGACGCGAGCATATTGCTTTCCAAGCAACAGGCCGCGTTGCTGCTGCAAGACAATAATAAACCCGTAAGAGTCGCCTCTATTTTCGGACGACGCTGGTGTAGACTGTTTTTTTTTTGCAGCCTGTCGATCACGACAATAACCACACCAAACCTCCGGGTTGGATCCCGTTGGAAAAATCCAACGGGAATGTGGTGAACGGTACCAAGGAGGTGGAACCCGCTGAAGATCCTTCTAAACCTCTCAAGCGAGCTGACAGTCGTCGCGAAAAACAGAAACGGATAAGTTTCAGAGGTGAGTTTTTGATGGCTGATAACATTTCATAACTATAATAATAATAAAACGGCTATAATATTATGACAAGAACATGATCAGCCTTTGAACATTATATGTGGTGCACATAGATTTGGTACTGATCTCATAAAGATTTATGTTTTGTAAATGGTAGGGGATATCTATGCCTAGAGTAGCATTATGTCTGAATTTAAATATTTTTTTTTACTGATTATTTTTCAATGTCCCTTTTTCTCCGTAGTGAACCACCCGGCACCAACTACAGAGTGTCACAAAAATATCGAAAAATGATTTTTTTAAACATATTAATTTTCTGTATTAATGTCTATTAGCTAACAGCCATGACAACAAAACAAAAAAATGGTGATCCTTCATTCAAGTGATTAACAATCATCGGATCCTGACCTACATCTACTTTACAATTTGGTTGGTGGGAGGAACTGGCTGACCTAGCCCCCTTTTCTGAAAGCAGCTGGCTGTATTACTTTCTTTTTCCTCTTTTTATGTATTTTTCAACGGCTGATTGTTCCTGACCTTAAGGCATTTTCATAATATTTATTGCTCAATAATTTTATGCAAAAATTTCCGCTATCTAAAGTGAGTGATAATTTGTGCTCAACGTTCGTATCTTATCAAATATGTAGATAGTGTTGCAGTAGAAATGGTTCAATCGAATTGAATTATTTAAATAAATCACCGTCCAGATTAAAGATAACAAGTTATAGGTAATATTCAAGGATGGTTTCCGGGTTGGGCCTAACAGTTAGTGCTGAATTTTCACCAGCTACAATTTGTTGAATAAGACCTCAATCAACTTTATGGTAGTACCGTCACTAGAATACAGCAGTTGTCTTTTAGGCGGAACAAGGACTAAATATAGCTCGTTGTCAGTTAGTCAAGTATGGTGACATTTTATTTGAACGAACGTTGGTGGCCATATAACCAACTTCTATTTTGTCCTGATTATGCATTTTCCCTATGAGTTTGGCATCAGTTAGTTATCCACTTTTAAGCCAACCCTTTACTTGGGATCTTTTGATCATATTCTAAACACGCTTGGCATCAAAATTATTTTTTCTACTCCCGCCTGTAAAATACCTAATTACACACGGATCTAGCTAGCGGGAACGGTCACTTTAGCACGTCAGTTTCGTTTCCCACGAATGCGAGTCACTTCGGGGCGGGTTTGGGAGCAATCGGTTGTTTTCGGAGATATTTCGAGGTATTTTGAGGTTTCTTTATTCTGAGGGTCACGTCAGTGAATGTATTTCTGTTGTTTTGCGAAAATGTACGCAAAAACTAACGGTCGTTAAAAAAGTATAGTATGCAACACGTTCCGTAAACTTTTTAAATCACTTGTTAATTAAAACTCGTGAGCCAAATGCCGTTTGTTTCATGATATACTATTGCAATGCCAAGTTTCTCCAAATAGATTAGGCATTACTAAATTATGATTAAATTAGAACTTAAATGTTCAGATTTTCATTAGTTTTTATTGGTTTAGGACAGCTGTTTCTGCAACATCATGACATTATCAAATACAAACCAGGTAGCAACAGATTCTTAGTTACCATTATTGTACGGTTTTGAATTGAAATTTAACAAGAAAGACCCATTCAAAGCCTGTTTGTCATTAAGTAAAAAATTCGAATAGGTCATTTTGCTAATCTCCATCATCTTGTATATTTCTGAATTTAAATAAATGTGGTTCTTAAATGCATAATAATTCTAACTGTTTGTCCTATATAAATTTGGGACATGGTCCACATTATAACTTGTAGACTCCTGATTTTTGAATTTTTCGTGATTTAGTTTTATTGTTTTTTAAAAATTTCTTGAAACTAAATTTAGAAAGATATTTCGAAACTTTCTTGCTAGGTTCTCCTACGTTTATTATTAATGTATCATTAGGATGGACAGAGTTCACTATTGTGTATGTGAATTATTATGTATTAATCTGTCCGTGTTTTAGAGTTTGTATTAAAAGCAAAAATCTAATTTGTTTTGTAATTTAGTTATATTTAAGTCCAAAACGTTTAAACAGTTATCCAGTTCCGTCTTTATATAATATGATTCAAGTAGGATCGCAAAGAAATGTCATGCACGTATCTGTATCACCAAAGAAAAATTTTACTCATTAATGATATTTTCTAACAGTTTTTGTTCCCTTTTAGAGTAAAAGCTACCTCAGTTCAATTACTAAATTAGCTTGAACCCTTCGACCATCACCATGCGTCTTAATCGGAATGACCGTTGTATTGCAGATAGTGCAAGCGAATTGACGTGGGATACACCCGACGAGACGTCGGAAATGCTGACTCCGATGGCGGAGGTAGCGGAAGAGGACGATGCCGAGGAGGATGCACCGAAGCCAGTAAGTAACGGGAATGTCGCGCGCATGGCTCCTCTGAGCTCTATAAGCGAAGTGACGCTCTATAATCCGGATAGGAAATCATTGGTAAGAATCAATGGAGGTCGTGATCGTGCATGTGAGCGTTGCTGATCGAATTTGAAAATCAATTTCCCGCAGTACGTGCCGCATGCTGAGATAACCGGAAAAGTGTTTCCATTTTAAACCATAGAATTCTTGTATATGTTTATCGAAACCATCAGGTGATAACTTGGAACTCATTTCAGTTTAAACCGTACACTGTATTAAATTATTTATTAATTTTTTTCATAAATATTAACGAAAATTGCTGTCAAAATAGCCGACATTTTCTTTTTAATTGGAAGTTTGAAGCCTTCCTGAGTTTATTTTAAAATTTACACAATTGGATTGAAAAGCCTTATTACTTGCTTAGAATCGCTTGCCATAAAAGGTCTCCGAATTTTTTATTTATTTATTTGTAAATTGCGTATACATCAAAGGAAACTATTGAGAATGTCTGTATATGCTGAAAAAATTTATACACCAGTATCCACATAATTATGATATTTATTTTCGGCATAACCTTCAAGTAAGCGGAACACAATTGAGAGTTCAATTAGAGACATATTTTCCGATTTGGAAACGTAAGTTACTTTTGAGCGCAGTGGGAAATTGTTTTTTGCTATAGAGCCTCAGTGTGTGTAGCTTTGAGATGTTACTTCATGCTTCCATTCAACGCATTTGCATTCGCATTCGAAAGTTATTTTACGCACGAAAAGCCTGACAATAGAAGTTTCAATCGATTGCACTCCAAAATTGTCACATTCCAGTCTGATGACGTATTGATATCGAAACTGAGGCAAGATATGTATTTTATTAACCCCTAAATTTCACTCTTTCTATTTTTCTCAAATGATGTAAGTTCGAGTGTTTCCAGTACTACCTTTATTCGGAGAAGTGACATTGATGTGTTTAAAAAGCCTTGGCAGGAAATATCTTGGATCACACTAACGCATGGTCATAGCTGCTTAAGCTAAAAATAGAGCATGTCGTAAAGACCTAAGACGTAAAGCCTCTAGAGCGGCCGTCCAGAATGCCGCCCTCCCCTGGTCATATTGGAGCAAACAACGCAGCTTATGGCCACAATACGATTACGCAGGATAGGATCATCGCACTTATCAATTTGTTTCCTCTGACTCAAGTCTAATCTTCCACCGTCTTTGTTATTTCTTCTTCGTTACGAAGGTTGGCAATTTCTTCAGAGTTCTCCGCACCATATTACAGCACTGAGAACACATCCTCGTCTTTAAATCCCAGCTGAGGTCGCTGTAACAAAATACTCCTTTCATTTTCATAAACGTTGTTCTCGTCAGTCCTATGCTGGTTTTGATTTTTACAGAACAGTCATTATCACTATTTATAACTGTGTCTAAGTTTCAACTTTTTCTATGTATTGATTGTTTATAAGAATTTGGTGTTTGTGATGGTACTGTTTTTTATATTATCATTAATTTTTTCTTCTTATATACTTCTTATATACTCCATATATTGACTTTATGTAGCAGTTTCTGTAAATCGTTTGAATTGTTAGCCAACAGCACAGTATCTTATGTTGTTGATGGGAACTCCGTTAATTACAATACACTTCGTCTAATCTTCTAATGCTAGTTTCATTATTTTCTCTGAGTAAAGGTTAAACAGCATCGGAGATAGCACGCACCCCTGTCTCACACCACAGCAGATTTCTGTTTTTTCTGTGCTACTTTCTTCCACTTTCACCATCGCTCTCTGATTAAAATAAAGATATGTGATGATTTTTATATCTCTGGTGTCTAAATTTTTTTTTTTAAGAATTGTTATCAGTTGTTCGTGTAGGACCTTGTCGAAGGCTTTGTTGTAATCAATCAAATAGAGAGAGTTCTCGATTCATATCCATATGCCGTTGGGCAATAACGTTCAAGGCAAAGAGTACTTCTCTTGTTCCTTGTCTTGCATTATATTTTTTTGGAATACGGATGAGCATTAATATCAACTGATAATAACTGTCCTGTATATGGTGTTATATAGATCTGTTAGATTATCTATGTTTTCCTCTCTTATCAAGTTGATAATTTCATTGGGTAACTCATCCAGTCCTGCAGCTTTTCCATTTTTTATGGTCTTTATAGATGAGCTATTCTCTAGTTATTTCTAGTCCATTTTTATATTGTTCTATTTCTGTTCTGTTAATATCTCTAACATCGTTGAAAAGTCCTATTATGTATTGACTCCATGTTCTCAACTTTTCTTCCAGTTCTATGATAATTCTACCATTCTGGTCAGTTAGTATTGTCGGTTTTTTTTTATGTAATGCTGCCATTTCTTTTATTTTTTGTGAACATTGAAATTGTTGTGCTTTTCTTGGAGCACTTATATATTTCAGAAATAATTTCGCAATGGGTGACCAGATTTGCTAGTTCTTCTGCAACTATAAAAACCTAATTTTTGGTTGTACCGAGTGACCAATTTTTTTCTTCTTCGTTTGCATTTCCCGAAATGCTTCGGCAATCTCTTTAGCATGGGCATGACGTGGGTTAGCGAAGCCACCCGAAATAACATCCGACTTGTTTTTCGAACTAGGTCGGGTGTCACACTCCGCCACCGAGAAGAATGCCTCCCCCAAATAGCAATCCCTTGTCCACAACGTTGCCATTCATGATCGACGAGACGAGTAGCGTGGAAAGCGCGGCCTAACGACGTCATCAATCGCCACACCGTGACTAAAACCATCAGAAAAGAAAACGTAACGTCTACGTTTTCTTTTCTGATGCTGGGAGGGGGGAATCATCATTCGCAATTCATTGAGGCTTTCCCAAAAAAGACCAAACGCGTATTGTGATAAAGACTATAGAATTTCATTTGTGCTTTTCATTGTTTGTCGATCGGTGGACTGGAATAAAGAGGAGCGGTTAAGAAATCTGGCGTTTTTTTGGTGTAAATAGGGCGTTAATCCTTGATCTTTAGATAATCCCCAATGGTGACGACGCTGCACCACCGACCCAAAACGAACTTCGAGAGGGTAAGTGTGGTTTCGTTGATAAAATCCTTTTAAAGGTGATACATTCCAATTGTGTCGGGCAGATGGCGAGACGGACGACATGTCTCGACCAGAATCGCAAACTCCGGTTTCCGTGGACGAGGCTACGTCCCCAAAACCCCTGACGATCACCACCAACACCAAGCCAGTATTAGTTGGGGAACATTTTAGAAAGTTCGACAACCCGATCAGTTACCTGGGTGGTCCAAAACTCGCCCCCAGGAATCGATGGAGTTTGGACAGCGTGTTGTCCGTGGACTAAATCGCGTTCGCTTTAAATTAGAGTATGAATGAATGCAAGTAGTCTGATCTCCGATTTAAGAGGATATTTTTGTAAATAATCAATTGCCTGCGTTATTCGAGTAACGAAAATTTGAGGAGTATAATTTATGGCCAACAGTGAAAGTAAGCACTCTGTATTTTGTTTACAAAGCGATAATAAAGCGAACTTGCGAAGTGAATGGTACTGATGACCATAAAAAACCAAATTTCTGAAAAATGGAAAACTTCTACCAAAAGAAATTTGTTTGAAAAAAAGAACATAATAAAAGCCAGTTTCTAAAAACAAACTTTAAAAATATTTTAGGAAAGATATCGCACACAAATATCATAAAAAACGGATGGCTTAAATAACATTGTTGAGCAGTATTGCAATTTTTTTCCTTTAAGTTGCTTGTAGATTGCCGAACGTAACTACAAAAAAATCTAGTTACTGTTTACTATCATCATTCCCAAATACTCGCGTGTACGCATTGCCTTTATTTAAAAGTTAAATGTTGATTACGGTAGAGCAGCGTAAAAAAATTATTTGCGCCATAGTTTTCTCACATTTTTAAAACGACGTGTAGAATAATTGATTCGTCTTGCTTTAAAAAAAAAAGGGTGAATTTTGCTATAGGCCATCTAAAAATAATATCTGCTTGTCCTTGTTTGCTCTGTTTAAATTTTGAAATGTCTAATTATAGTTTTTATAGTGAATTATTTAATTTTAATTTGGATTAAAAATTGTATCTTATATATAGTTTTTGTTTTACTCTGTATCTCAAGAAGGAGTCCATATCGGAACTTTTTTATTATTTTTGGATGACCGAAGAATATCTTTTTGAAACACCCTCCACCATGAGATTGCCTGGATCTGATGCTTAGAATGAATATAATTTTCAGCAGTTTAATTAGAGCTCGCCTTGGAGCGTTCTCGGGCAAATAAAAACTGTTGTACATCTTTATTTGGAATTGTTGCTAGAAAAACCAGTATTATTAAAGTGATCAAATAAATCGATAAATTTTAAAGTTACTTTTTTTTAGCATTAATAAAGGTTTCTACTTCGCAAATCATAAATCAAACGTTACTCATTACTCATTTAAACTCATGAATACTGATTGATTTTCAATGAAATGAATCAGTCTTCGAATCTATATCGACACAGTATTCGAATCAATGCAATCACCATACTACCGCACACCCGGACTAAATAACTGACTTCCTTTCTGTCTGTGACTATTGAGATTCGGTGAGACCCGGCATAGGTACTGAAAAGTAGGCCGTGTAGAAGTGAAGCGTGTTTGGTGAAAACAGGAAAAAAATTACTAGTTTCTGTTGAAAATGAATTAAAGGTACCATCTGCTGGCTAAAACAATATGTTACCTTATATTTCATACAGAACAACAACAAACATTTAAAAATATTATTGTTACAATTCAATTAATTCCATAAACTGTCAGCTATTATTGGAGATAGTGATTTGTGTAAAACGGCATGTGTCCCACGTAAAAGGTAAGTTTCACTTTGTATCTACATATATAGTTTGCATGGCTATGCTTTTTTACTCTCAAAATTCAAGGTTTAAGTATCTATTTCGTAATAGAGCGTAATGCAATACTAAAACCTGACTAGATTGTTCTGTGTAGTGAAGCAAAATTTATAAAAAAAGAAAATGGATTATTGTTTTAATTTCTCGGTAATTAACATTAAAAAAATAAACTCAAATTTGTATGGTAATCACCGCACAAGCGCACGCGTGTTTAGTGTTAAATAACCGACTTCCCTTCTTCCTTTGACTCTCGAGATTCGGTGAGACCCGGCATAGGTATCGACAAGTACAAGAGAAGCGTGCCTGGCGAAAATGACATTTTAATATCCATTTTCTGTTGAAAATGAATTAAAGGTAACATCTGATAACTAAAATAACATATTGTCGTATAACTCAAACAGAACAGGACTAAGCTAGTAGCAACGTAACCAATATTTTAAAATGATATTGCACTTAGAAAACAAGCTTGTGCATAAACGGTCAAATCTTGCTTTAAGGACATTACTTAGTTTCACCTGACGCCTCTCTGTACTTGGGGATGTTAGTTCTAGGTAAAAAATTAGTGATTTGTGCGTTTTGAGTGAAGCGGCTGGTTTTCCATGCAAAAGGTAAGTCTCTCTGTTAACTTTGCTTTTTTACTCTATTATGTAACAGAGCGTAATGGTCGACATGCAATACTAAAATCTGAATAACTTTTTCTGTGTAGTGCAGTGTAGTGCAAGTAACGAACTCAGAAAATGTTTTTTTTTCTTGGTTTCTAAATAAACTAAATTAACTCACTAATTTCGTCACCAGTAGTCCTGCAATTTCAAGGTACATTCCAGGTTGTCCAGAAAATATTGTAGCTGCAATGTTTAATGATGGTTTGCGAAATTAAATTATATTCAAATTTACTTCCTCTCGTCTATAGATGGCGTCCTTGTGTCCAAGCTCTTCAAAGCTAAGTTTAAAGCTAATTTACTTCAAATATTAAGATGATTTGATCTAAAAAACCTGTATGTGTTATAATTCAATCTTAATGTATAGTTAAAATCATAAAATTGAATGATTTAATTCTACCAAGCAAAAATGGAAGCGTTACCAAAAATATACTTTTTGGCTTCTCCAAACAATATTTTCATAACTTTAAATTACCTTAATTATCCTGTTCATTAATAGCTCCGTATTTTTAGTTGCAATAACATTTCTGTGCATATTTTCTCTAATTTAATAGTTAGGGTTGGTTAGTGCGTATGTTGATGAATGTTTATTCATATATCAAGAATGTATTTAAAATAAACAATGTAATAACTAAAACTAAACACTGGATATATTTTTAAATTAAGAAGAGGCATACAAATAATTTCAATTTTCTAATGACCGCCATATTGTATTTTTTTAGATTTGATTAGGCGGTTTTTATTATCTATTTTAAATGATTAATATTAAAGAACTTTGACTTTAATAAAAGGTAATATCAACATATATCGTAAACCTCTTAACGAACTCAGAAAATGTTTTTTTTTTCTTGGTTTCTAAACTAAATAAACTAAATTAACTCCCTAATTTCGTCACCAGTAGTTCTGCAATTTCGAGGTACATTCCAGGTTGTCCAGAAAATATTGTAGCTGCAATGTTTAATGATGGTTTGCGAAATTAAATTATATTCAAATTTATTTCCTCTCGTCTATAGATGGCGTCCTTGTTTCAAAGCTATTCAAAGCTAAGTTTAAAGCTAATTTACTTCAAATATTAAGATAATTTCATCTAAAAAACCTGTATGTGTTATAATTCAATCTTAATGTATAGTTAAAATCATAAAATTGAAAGATTTAATTCTACCAAGCAAAAATTGCGAAAGCGTTACCAAAAATATACTTTTTGACTTCTCCAAACAATATTTTCATAACTTTAAATTACCTTAATTATCCTGTTCATTAATAGCTCCGTATTTTTAGAGGCAATAACATTTCTGTGCATATTTTCTCTAATTTAATAGTTAGGGTTGGTTAGTGTGTATGTTGATGAATGTTTATTCATATATCAAGAATGTATTCAAGATAAACAATGTGATAACTAAAACTAAACACTGCAAATATCTGCACTACAAAGTATCGAGTAAAATTTTGATTGAATAATTTAAGTGTCCAAGAACATCTCGGAGAACATCTTGAATATTCCAGAGGAATTCCATGTAATTATAGGAGGAATTTCTTTCCTCTGTGGTGTACCCTCCGGTTTTATTAGGTATAGTTTAAGCTATAAATTACTCTATCTACTATCTATACCTAATTGTTTATTACAGAAATTTAGGGTCAGATATCCTGTCGACAAAGTTGACTGTTCACTCTCAAAGTGTTTTTTCCAACATTGTATCCACTGGTCTTTTATATTTTTTTTTTGTAATAATAAACTATTAGGGAGGGAAATAAAAAACCAATTTAAATTTTTATATTTTACAATTTATTTAAATATTATACCATACAGACAATAAAATCATATGTGCACAATCAAGGTAAAGAAGAAGAAATTAACTTGATCAGGAGCAAGGTTCAACAGTAACCAACGAATAGACGAGGGTAATAAGAAAATAAATGCACATATCAATGTATACACAGTGTCTTAAAAGAAACTGATCAGTTTTTAGTTTTTAAGCGTTTATAAATGAAGTAACATTTGAACAACACAGTTGTCGTTGACAATGCAATCAAATTTGACGAGATGCGCTTTAAGACACTTAGTACATAAATGCATATAAATAAGTGGTAGACATTTGCATCATATAATCAGACTGTCTCTAATGAGTAGCACAAACTTTGTTCCTTTTTAATAATATTGCATACTATAGACGCTATCGTATTTTTTTTTAGGTAAACGCTAGGTATATGTCATATTTCAACTAACATCGAACTATAGTTATTTTTTTTTAAATATAGTATACATTAAAATAAAGCTTTGTCCTGATTTTTTTCATGGTGGTGAATAAGTAGCCTAAAAATGCCAATCGTACATCACTTGTTTTTCGCTTAATGTTAGTACTTTTAAGTATATAAAGTTAAATATATTATACAGGGGAGATATGAAAAAGAACATGCCGAACGGGGTCGTACCATTTTTCTAAATCAAAAGTCCCAACGGAAACGTTTTAACGCGTAACTTGTCCAAATATCAATTTTTTTGTATAAAATAGATGACGTGAGTGGTCAAATTTTGGAAGGCACTTACTACATTATTTTTTGAACACATTTAAGCCTAGTTGTCAAACTATACCGGCCGTTTCAAATTCGACTCTTACTATTGGGTTCTCAGAAACTGTAGCTTAAACTAGGGTAAATCCAGGCATATAGGATAGGATATATTTTTAAATTAAGAAGAGACATACAAATAATTTTAATTTTCTAATGACCGCCATATTGTATTTTTTTAGATTTGATTAGGCTGTTTTTATTATCTATTTTAAATGATTAATATTAAAGAACTTTGACTTTAATAAAAGGTAATATCAACATATATCCTAAACCTCTTAAGTATTAAGCCACAGGGTTTTAAAATTTTAAAGAAAAAATGACTTTATCAGAATTTTCTTTTCATTCTGTGTACATATTTTAATCATTACGAAGTTTTTTATGGTTTTACATTCGTACGAGATTTGTACTGAACAGTTTTGATGAAAAAAATGGTAGGCTTTTTCTAACAAGTAAAATGATTTTTGGAGTTCTCATTTTTGGAGCAAATTCAACCAAAAAAAAAACCATTTTTTTAACAATTGTTATATGAGATTTTTGTTGAAATTTGGTACTATACCTGAAGACGTGACGAAAAATAAACAACTTTCTCCAGTGATATCCACGTAGGTGTACTAATGAATGTTTCAATAGAAAAAATTAGTATAAAAAATATATACCTCAAAAATCAAGAGGTTCGTTTAGCTTTTCTTCCTAGAATCACTTTAAATATGAAAAATATACTTATGAAGAAAAACGACACGTCAGAAAACTGGCAAAGTAAAATCAAATGTTGTCCTTTTTGAGAAGCCCTGTATGTCTTGTCTTATCTTTTCCAAGATCCCAACGGCGGGGGTCGAATTTGGAACACCCATTATAGTGAATTATAAATAGAGCAGCGAATATTTATACTCGTCCCGTTTTACTAAAAGACAAATATAAGTACTAGCCACGGGTTTACATATTAGAACGTTTACCAAAAAGAGTCCCAGACTAGCACTAAACACTCTTACCAACATAAATGTTTAACTTGCAAAGGCCACTTTTTTTCGAAAAATATACATTATCACGAGTAGCACTAAAACCGATAAACCAAATGGCAAACCCCGAGTCGGCAGGAAGGCATTCTGAATAATTTTAATTTAATATATTTCCTCTCTACATTTACAATGATTTTATATAAATTTTGTACATTATTTTCATATTCCTAAACCCTAAAACGAATCACAAAAATATTCATTTATAACCGCCGTTAGCGAAACAGTTTTGCAGCGGTGGTGGAATTAGTGTGGTAGTTTTTCGCGCCGTCCATATTGTATACCTTAATATAACGAAGACTTTCTAAATTTTGTATCACCTTTTTAATGAATAACGCAAGGCGCAAATATTTTAATATAACGTCATCCGGGGTCAACTCTCACGCGTACAAGAACCATAAAATTTTGTTCGGAGGGAAGGGCCTTTAAATACGAGCAAAATTTTTATGGTTATCTCGAAATTGTCAGCTACTTTTGACAAACAAAATGTAGATGTCGCTTTTAACATATCGTATATATATATAAACTATGGGCTTACGTTATATGTAATATGTTCTCGTCAGCATTGTAAATAAATTATACAAGTCTTTCATAAGTTAATACCGCGAGCACTAAACACACTCTCGTTTATTTTATTTTTTTTTGTACATGCACAACACCTAGGAGTCACTATTTTTAGTCCATACTACGTAATAATTGGTTTTTCCTTTTAACATATTATACATTTGGCAATGCAAAAATGTTGACCACGAAAGAATTCTTAGCTTTATCGGTTTTCGAAGTAGAGGAAGCTTAAAAAAAAACACGAGTTCTCCGGCATGGATTTTAAAGATTCGAAATTGTTTTGATTAACGTCGCTATGTACACGAAAGTTAACTGGTTCCTTTACACAGCACGTCAGACGTGCAAAGTGTAAAAAAAAGATGCGAAACAATTTTAGAGCAACCACTGCGAGTACACAGGTTTTCAGATTCCTAGAATTTGACCAAAACTGACCAATTCATTTTAAACTAGTACAAAATACTTAAATTTTTGTTTGCCAGTAAAAAAGAAAGATAGTGAAACAAAAAAAAACATTATAAGCAAACAATAATAATAATAATAGAATAATTTTTGGTAACGTTTTTATTCTCTGCTGATGTTCCCCTTACTTGTAATTGAACAAAATTATGACAAGCTTAGCCAATTTTTTTTTTTTGACTTCTCGAAAAATACATTATATTCCAAAAATCTGTTTATGCAGAGTTAAAAAGTTTAAAGTCTTTTCCAGTAAAAAGTATTTCGTCTTTTCTTCGAATAATATAAAACTTGGCATGTTCTACAAAAAAATGTTGAATATCTAGAATTATTTTACCAGTAATGATAAGAAAAATATTCAGTTAAGCATTTTTAATTGGAAATCATGCAAACTTGTAGAAGATTTCACCGAAATCTTTCAAATGTCATCGGGTGTTTGGAAGTTGAGAGTTCATTTATTACTGTTCTAAAATAAACCTGCCGTCAAGATAGTCGAGTTTCGATCGATGTTGCTCCGAATTAAACCGCTATGTTAAGCACAATTTTCATATGTACGAAAAACACTGGCGTAGCAAAAAATTCATCGCGCATGCCACACGGACCTCACTGGTGCAAACTAATCCTTTTAACACGCATTTTGAAAGATTTTTTGGGTCAAAATATATTAAGTGATTTAAGTGTCTTTCACGCGTACGTTTATTTGTAGAAATATGTGCTGTCAGAATCTTGGTCGAATTATGAAAGCAGTTGGATTGACTCGAAATTTTGAAACAGACCATTTAGATACCGTTAGAATGAATTCAATAAAGAATTATAATAAGGATTTCGCAGTGTTTTCCCCAAACTTTCGCATAAAATCGTCGACGTTTGATTCGAGACACGCCTTCCTCTTCTTCCTGACAAGTTACCGAAACGTATGTCGTAAATAAATAAAAATAAAAAACTGACCGACAGCCAGTGCTGCTACATAAATACTGCGGATCACTGACCATACTAAAAATAAGTTACAAACTCTTATGTTAAACTAAAAACAAAATAGGAATAGTCCGTCGGGTATTGCACAGAAAAATAAACAAAGTTACAACGTCTTTGCTGTGACAACGGTTTTCGTTTGTATCCTAATGCAAAAAAATATCGCGGGGAGTCACAAAACCGCCGGCGGGGGTAGTTTTGAAAAAAAAAAGGACTCTAGTGGCAGATTGTCTTTGGGAATGTGACGGCGGAGTATTGCTAGCACTTTTCACATTTCGCCGATAAATTGAAAAAAAAAAAATGAAACAACGCAACCGCAACCTTACTACTTACAGTCGATAATAAAACGTCCGATTCGAATTTTGAATTTGGAACATTAGCATACAAATATACACAACAGTCTTTTAAAATAGAACTGGCCGAAATACTTTGGCTTCCTAGATAAAATATTTTTTCTATTTTATTTTTTAAATTAAAGGTTATTCCCGTTATACATGTAAAAAAAGTTTTACCTCCTGGATATTTGAAGTCCCTTTATGGTTACTTTTTAAAATGACCTTCATACCATACAGCTACTCCCAAAAGTGTTAAAAATATATTTAACATGCAAATTTTTGTACGCCTTTTAATTATTAAAGGCCAGTTTTGAAGAAAAACTTTTACTAGTATTAATTAAAAAAAAAGTATGATAAAAAAGTTATTGTTTTGTTTTGTATTTCAAAAAGGTTTTTGTTGCCTAAATGTTAAGGTTTTTTAAATAATTTCAGTTTTGTCGCAATGTAATCCAATTTTAATTTATCAAATACACGGAAGAATTTAAATTTTGTGAACGAAAGTTGTAGTACAGTGTACTAATAGATCATGTCTTATATCCCAAATATTATCTTGCCAATAGTGTCGATTACCTATCGAATAGTCGAATAGTCTGATAGCTAACTCTAATTTCGGTTTTTAAACTTCCTGTATCATGAAGCAATTTTTGAGTGTCATTTTACAATTTTGAAAAAGGTAGATTGAAAATTAAAACTGGCCCTCCGATCCTAGACCTAACACCGCCAGATAGATTTCTTTTTATGGGGAAACATAAAAAGAATTGTTTACAACATTCTTACAACTACACCAGATTCTAATATGAAAATACGTATTAGACACGCTTTTAACACTGTACGTTCGCAAATCTCGTTCAGAGTTGCCAATAAGAAGAATATATGTGTCTAAATTTTTATTTTACTTTCAGTTGGTTTTGAAGTAAAATTTTTAAAAATCTACCGTATAATTATTATTATCCGTGTTATTTTTTTAAATAAAATTGAAGTATCAGAGAGAAAATACCTAAATTATACTTCAATAAGCTTAAGAGCTTAAGGCAATTTAAAAGAATGTAAGAATACAGAAAAGTGACATTCGGTTAAAATGAATATGCCAACTAAAATTGTTAGATTAAAATAAATTTTGACCCAGCCTGTATGAATCTTGTTTAGTTTCGAGGTATAAAATATTAAGTGACATATTGACAAGCTTTAAATTATTTAAAACATTTACTCGTAGAATAAAAAAATGTACTTTTAAAAAATACAAGTTTGATACTTTTAACACTTTTGGGACAATCGGTATAGCAGAAAAATAATTTTTAAAAGTTATCACAATCGGACTTCACACTTCCCCGACCTAAAACTTTTTGAAGACCTTGTACAGCCTGAATAACCACGCATAAAAGTCGTGTCCGAAATATCACACCTTACAGTAAAATTTGTCAATTTTTTCCCGTAACAGTTCGCGAAAATAACACAAAAATGGAAAAAAATAACCGAAAGGGAGGTTTTCTTCTTTCCGTTTTTTTTTTTTAACTAACCAATTTATTTATCACATGACGTGTTCGAAGCGGTAGTTTGTTGCCGGGTCTTATTCGCCGCGGCATTCCGTCATGGGTTCCATTTTGATGGGCGCCATTCCGTCCTTGGGTCGCGGCGTGGTCGAGTGGAGGGGCTTCACCAGGTCGTCGATGTCTTCCTGGAAGAGATTCTCGGGCCGGGGAGACGTGAAGGACCGCGCGGGTTTGTACGTCATCCCCGACACGCCTATGCCTACGTCCATACTATTTCCTGAAACCGAAAGTATCGAAGTTAACCTAGCTATAATAATAGAAAACGCTATTATCTTTCTTATCTAATTTATCTCATAACAAAATAAAATTCGAAAATTTGAACCACTTATGTGATTTTTGTATTATTTATTTATTTTATTTAGTATTGTTCATAAAGTGCCGTAATTAACGTAATTAACCCCTATATATTACTTAGACACACAGAGGATTTTCACCTAGAGGCATGGAGGCAGTTTGGTTTTTACATGCTCACTGAGTTACGGATAACGTATGTAATTATTGCAAACAACATTATAAACCATCTTACAGATACACAGTGATAGTTATTGAATAAGCACCAAAAGTAACTAATCAAAACTACAAAAGAACACCACCGCACAGAGATCGTTTTATTTTAGCAATTAATAAATGAAAAAAACAATGTTCAAAATAAATAAATGTATGCTGTTATATTAAAGAGTATGCCTTTTTTGCTGAAACGGGGCGGACACGAAAACATTTGAAATATTAATGAACAATAATTATTGACTTTAGTTTTTGTGATCTTTGTTACGTGTTCTTCACTTTTTCTTTACTCCCGTCTGTAAAATACCTCATTACGCACCGATCTAGCGTGCGGGAAACGTCACTCGTTGCCCACGGATCCGAGCCACTTCGAACATTTCCGGGATTTCACTGCACGGGTTTGGGAGCAATCGGATGTTTTCGGAGATTTTACCGCACGGTTTGAATTTTGACGTTTATTAATTCTGACGGTCATGTCAGTGAATATACTCGTGTTGTTTTGCGAAAATGCACCCAAAAACTAACGGTCGTAGAAAAAGTATATTATGCAACACGTTTACCGCACTTGTTGCATAATATACTATTAAATATGGGTAAGCAGTGTAGAAAGAAAATGACTCAAGGTGCGTCATAGTATGAGATGAGTATAGAGCATCATCGGCCCTCATTTCATTTAATAACTATATGGTGGAAACAGCACTTTAAGGTAGTTGTGTTAATTTGCTCAATGCCCAATCTATGAAAATGTTGAAATTGTGTATTAATTATTCGATGATACACCTGCACGTATAACTATTCAAGTTGTAGTCAGTCATTGAAAAATGCCGATGATTAGGGAAATTTTCGGTATTTTCTTTTTCGAGAACTTGTGATATTGTAAAAAGTAAAAATTTTTTGAAAGGCTTGGAAAAAGGCTCTTACACTGGTAAGTTTATTTCGTGATTTGAAGTGTAGGAATTTGTTGCCGTGATGTACAAGTTTCGTGGTAAAAATCGATGGAGGATGATTTACAATGTTAGATAAAATGATACAGACCGACGACTAGACATGAATCTAAATCCTTTTGTAATATCAGTAGTAGGAGAAGTAGCGAGACCGTAAAATCATTTTTTTTTTCGCACTTGAACCTCTATGAATGGTGACAACTCGTGGTAACTTGGCATCATGACTGATTTTATTCTTTCGTGAAGATAGCAAAGCCTTGAAACTATTTTTCTCAAATATTAAGATGAAAACGTTACGACAAGAATTTTCGCTCGATTTATAGATTCTTTCGTTAAATTATAAGATACTATTTCAATAACACCCCGTATAAAATATATGGCATTACATAAAAGCCATCATCTAAAGGTTTTACTGATAATATAACTAAAAATAATATCTAAAAAAATTCCATTATCTATCTTTTTTTTTTCAAATTTTTAGTTATTATTATCTCGTAGTAATCATTATCTCGCAAGAGATACCCATTCTATGAGCTAAGGCACTGACCTATATTCATGTTAATTGCCGGTTCCATACTGCTAGACACAGTGAGCCCGAGTGGAGAAGATATCGGACTCTCCATGGCGGATTCACTCGGACTTATCCTCAGGTCTTGTATGCTCCCAGCCGGGCTGCCCATGTTCCGCATGGAAGCGAGGTGGCTCATGCTCATGGGTGGGGCGCCGTTGCTCGGCAACGTCATGTTGCCGCAGTGTCCAGCTAGTGCTAACGAGTTAACTAGACTCGCGACTGGGTTAGTATCATGCGCGGAGCTCTGGTTGTGGGCAGCGGCAACCTATAACACGATTACGATTAATCCGAATCAAAGAAGAGACATTGAGATGCGATTAGACTTACCATGCTGCACATTTGTTGTCGTAGTCCTTGGGCCACCGCGGCCACTGCTGCTGCGGCAGCAGCCCCTGGCGACACATTGGGATCTGAACCGTTGCTACATGAATTGTTTGGATAACTCTGAATGGTGACTCCGTCCTGACAGCAGAGCTCATGTTAGAAACAATTACGAGATTAAAAGCACTGTGGACTTACGTGTAGCCTGGGGTAAGGTAAATGCGGCTCTTCTTTGATTTGATGGGAATCCCTGAATACTACGGCTCTTATGACACCTCTAATGTGTTCGTCTGGCCACACGCCTAGAAGAATCCTTTGGGGCCGACCTCTGCCTTTCGGCCTCAGATCTGTTTAAGAGAAAAGATTTTGTTGTCAAAATGACTTATGATTAATTGTGTTAGTGGTTTGAGATTTTGAGTATGGTACCCGATTGTGTTGATGCCATAATTTCAGAATTAAGAAGCGACAACATTCATGTTAAATTATTTCAAAAATAGAAGATATAAGCAGATAGAGAATAAAAAGAAATTGGCGGGTTTATATATTTAAAATTTTCCTGTCAAACCATAGGTGATAGGTCAAATAGGTTTAAAATAAAAGGTAACATCGAACTAATTATTTGGTTTGCGGAAATGCAGATAAAGAAAATGCAAAAAAATCGTAGTAGCAGTTTATTTAAAGAAAAAAAAAGTCAAGAATCCGGAAAGATCTTTTTTTGAGACACTTGGAGAGACTTAAATTCCGCGCGTCTGGGACGAAGAAATAACCAAATAGAGAATAATAAAGGAATAAAAAAAGATTGGGTATAAAATAGGGCCAATGAAATTATCAGAGGATTGCGAAAATTGAAAAAAAAACTGACCAAAACTAACACCAGTAGAAATGTAAACATAAGAAATGTATATTTAAAAATAAGACAGAGTAAGTAACAAATATGAATGAAACGAATGGAAAGGCTGTTGGAATAATTAAATACAGAGTGCTGGAAAACTAAAATTTTTTAAATCAATATTTTCATTTTTAACAGAATCGTACTTGCAAACTCGCCTGAATATGCGAACACAAATAATAGTGAACAATAAAAACACAAAATTTACTTTAAACAGGAGAAAGTGAAATGCGAACGAAACAGGATAAAATAACAGGATGACTTATAATGTTAGGATATAAAATTAATTATATTAATATACAGTAAAAAAAAGAACAATCGACAATAATTAGAGGTGGTACTAAGAGTGTGAGTAAATAATAGTGAACAATAGAAACACAAAGAGTAGAAATAACAAAGGATCGGTGAAATAAAAATTAAAAAACAAAAAATCAACACTAGTACAAATACAAGGTTTCTAGATTCGCTTCTCTATACAGGGATCTCTGCTCCTATTATACTTGAAGCAAAGATTAAACGGAGAAAGTTCTAGAGGAAACTTAGTGCATTTGATAGCCGGATTCAGATTTACGATCCGTCAATTGGGTTTGTTAAATATCGGCGAAAAAATGAAAATGGCGGATTTCTTTTTTCGCCGGTAAATCCAAAACGGTTAAATTGACAGTTGTCAACATTATTCAGACACTATTTTAAGGTGAGTCAGATAGTGTGCATGTATCAATCGTCTTTTGTTACCTCGCAAACCACCTTAACTTTCATTTTATAATTTATTTATCGATTTTTGAAAAGAGTCTAATATTTCCAGTTCAGTGATGTCTCGCAAGTGTACCAAAGAGTCTATCACACTTCGGATAGTTAGGTCTTAATTATTTTATAAGTAGGCCAGGCATAAAAAAAATCATAAACGCATTGAATTTTCAATAGAACATGAACTAAAGAGCGATTTCTCAACAACAGATGTTCTGGGCAAATTATCAACTGTGTGTTAAAAAAAGTCAGAAATTTCGTCGTTAATTTAATTAAAACACTTGAATAACCTACAAGTTCGATACAAATTGCAAAAGTAAATCGCTACAGAAACAATTCACAAGTAGTGTAATGTAATAGTTATTAAATACATATTTGAATTGGCATCGAGACATTTGTGGCAATTAGTGACTGTAAGCTCGGGACGATCAAATTCATAAACCTTATTTTTTGTGTGACCCCAGAGGAACAAATCCAAGAGCGAAAGGTCGGGGGATCTAGGAGGCCAAGATATTCGACCTCTTGAATAGTGTTGTGAGCCGGATATCAATCCTGTTAAAGCCAGGTTCGTCTAAGCTCATCTTCGGTTAGAGTAGGTAGTAAAGCAGTCACAATTTGGTTTGATAATTGGTAATTCATTATAGGTGCTCAATTAAAAATGGTAATTAAATATCAATAATCTCAGACTAAAGGTTAATTCGAAATCTAGTCTTTAGACGTATCTCGCGAGGGTTTTCCACAGCCCAATGATGAGTGTTGTGCTTATACATGATTTAAAAAATCATGATTTCCATTGCATTTATACCACATACCGCATTCGTCTTTGAAAATCAGTTTCATTAACTAAAATATTTCTAAATTGGATTTTATGAGGCTGCCATCGTTCAGAATACTTCTCCAAATACGGAGGTAATGACGGCGTTTCTGTGTGACTGCAAGTACAACGCTCAAATGTCAAATTTTTCTTCACTGGAATAGGGAATACCGACTATTTTGAATAGGTTTCAACAATTTGTTACATTTTATTGAGAGAATGCGCTCAACTCAGATACTTTCAATTATTTAACGCCAAAGTCCTCAAAGTCCTTAGATGAAAAAAGGTAACAAATAAATCGTGGTCTACTTATAAAATAATTAAGACGTAACTTTACGAAGTGTTATAGTAGTAATTTTTCAAAGAAACTTCGACAGGCTACCGTAATACTTTTTATGAAACTTTTGGATTCCACCTGCGTCGGTTTTTGTTGAGTCGAACTAGCTAACGTTTCGCCAATCATCCTGTTGGCTTCTTCAGAGCTTGACTGAAACTGGCTTCCATTTTTTCTTACATTCAAAATATCACTGACAACATATCAAAAGTATTAAAGAAATATAACGTCAAAACCAGATTTACCACTTGTCGAAAAATCTCAGAACATCTTCGATTCAAAGACAAAATACCATTTCAACTAGAACATGAAAGACAACAGAGAACATATAAGACAAATAATTCACAACATTCACAAAACGGGACATAAAATTTTATTCGATAAAACTAAAATTATGTATGTATGTAATGAATTCTTCTACCAACCAAAAATCCGACAGTCTATAGAAATCTATAAGCAACCTAACAATCTTAACCGCGACTCAGGTCTGTCACTAATCAGGGAATCAGTCATCCGAAACGGTGTTTATGCCCCTCATTTAGCTCCGCCCCCCTCAAACAATATAAAAGCAGATACAAAAGATATAGAGTAAAATACGAGCCAGTGTCGGTCAAGCTCTGAAGAAGCCAACAGGATGATTGGCGAAACGTTAGCTAGTTCGACGCGCAGGAGGAATCCAAAAGTTTTAGAAAAATGTGATAATAGTATGCAACAACTGCGGTGAAGGACATTTGACTCACGAGTTTATTTGATACTAGCTGAGCGCAGCGAGTGACTTGAAAAGTTTATCCAACGTGTTGCATAAACATTTTTTTCTACAACCGTTAGTTTTTGGGTATATTTTCGCAAAACAACACGAATACATTCACTGACAGGTCGTTAGAATTGACAAACGTCAAAATTCAAGGCATGGGAAAACATCCGATTGCTAACAAACCCGTGCGGTAAAATCCCGGAAATGTCGGAAGTGGTTCGGATCCGTGGGAAACGAAACTGACTTGAAAAAGTGTTTATGGCTACCATAAGAAAAATGAAAATTAATTAGGGTTGCGGGATAACAAAAGATGATGAGACATGTCTTAAAAAAGTTTCCGAATAATGTCACATTTTGACAGCTGTTAATTTAATCGTTTTCGATTTACTGGAGAAAAACGAAAATCGACATTTTAGGTTTATCGCCGATGTTTCCCAAACAAATTGGCCGGTAATCAAATGCACTAAATTTCCTCTAATATTTTCCGCATTTCATAAGTGCTGTAGGTATAATAGCGGGGATTCCTGCATAGAGAGGCGAATCTGGGATATATTGTATAAATATAGGAAAAGTATACTTAAAAATTACGAAAAATAATAAATTTAGAGTTTAATTTTTGAGTAAGTAATTGTAAGATCTTTTATTTTATAAAAATAGCAGAATCGTACTTGTAAACTCACCTGATCCTCCGTCAGCCGATGGCCCTAGCATATTGTGAACGCGGTTTGCGTACAACACGAACGTGGGGTAGGGTATGTCGTATTTCCTAGCGGCCTGGGACAGTGACAAGCCTTCCTTTAAAACGGAAAATATCGCTTCGGCCATGGTCTCGGGTCTCCACGACTTCAACGGGCCCCTTTCCCGGAACCTTAAGTTATGGACGAGGCTCTGGTTGGTATTCCAACATTTCTGCCACATCGATTGCAACTGGTACTGGTAGCTGTCTGCTAGAAGAAAAACGGAAAAATATTCATATTAGTTCCGGACCCCTTTTTTTGTTTTCACATTAGATTTAGATTAGGAGCGTATAGTCTTCGCGACGAGTTCAAAGTGACGTCATCGACAGTTACTCTTTGAGTTGAGTTTAAGTCAATTTTTGTTTGTCACGTTTATTTTTAATATAAAACAAAAGCACGTGCTATAAACAAAATATCTGTTTATGTGATGACTAATATAAATTTTAAAAGATAATTATTTAAATTATGGCCACATGACGTCACATTAAACTTATTGTACAATTACTATACTTTTAGTTTGAACATGTTTTTTAAAATATAAAATGTGCAACGTCTTTGTATCAATTTCTCTTATTCCAGAGAAGTGCAGGTTATATTTTTACACCCTACCTACAAGATCACCTATACAAGATTTGTGTTTTTTCGTTTTAACGTTAAAAGTTTTCGGACGAATATGTAAAAAGGACTGGTAAACGTCGAATTTTGATAAGTGTAAATACGCATTTTACATTCCTTTACACAAAGCAAAAATGTGAGATTGTCAATCTGATGATGATTTCTTCTAAAATTATCGTTGTTTTCCTGCCTGAAATTTATTGATGATCGCTGTCAAATTAAAATAACTAAAACATTCAGTTATTCTTGAATTCAATGAAATTAGATTCGAGATGAGTAACAAATGTCATCATTTGCTATTATTAACATTTTTTTAAAATTTGAACTTCCATATTTTTAAAGCGAATGAAATCAGAAAAGAGATCTATAATGATAGAAAATAATATACCCCTAAAATTCATAAAAAACGTAAAACTTTCGCATTTATACTTTTTTTTTTAATTTTTCAAGGATGACCTTTCGTGGGTAAGGTGTAGGTAAAATATACGAGAAAAATCGTTTATCGGTATATTTTATTAATTTTGAGTTTTGGGTTGTTTTATTATTCAATATTAAGTAAACAAGTGTATAACCTTTGATAATATAATTAATTATTTTTTTGCAGAGTACTAGAAATACATTATTACGGAGTAAATTTAATAACTTAATAATGGATAGTGTCACAATAAATGGTAACAGACGCCTGAAAAGAAAAGTTTCATTATTTAGACCATTGTTGCTACATTTTAAGATTCGTATCGCGAAATAGGTTGGGCAACGTTTAGATGCATATAGTTAAAAATGTCCCCGCGGCGTAAATCGCTAGCGAATGTCTTTTTGTTTTTATCGCAAACAATAATTATTTGTTACATATCAGATGTTTATCGCCGGTTTGTGGTCGTAGGTGGCAATAAATCACGGCGCAATAGCAATGACTCTTTTTTTATTTAAAATATTACCAACGTTATGAAAACGCATGAAATATTGGGTCGTTGTTTAAATAATAAAAATGCCTAGCGGTGTGATTTCAAATCAGATAGACGTGGCGACTGTATTTTTTCCTTATTATTGCTGACAATAAGTTGATTTTTATGATAATATAACTCAGTGCCCGAGAAAAACAACCTCAAAGTTGAAAACGTGCTTTGTGGCGAAACAATTATTTTTGACGAGATTAAAAAATGTAGTCTCTTACATATAAAAAAAAATGTTAGGTCTGGTTGTTGGAAATTGTAGAGGAAGAAAATTGCAATGGGAAATTACAGATTTTCGGTTTTTCCCGGATATCATCGAATCTAATCAGAATTTGCTCCATTTTGAAAAGGTTTTATATTAAACACCAAAATAGGCAATTATGCCTCTATTTAACCGTTTCTTCGTTTCTAAGATCCCAATATTTGGGACAACCTGTACAGAGTGATCACTTAAGGATAGCCAGCGGTCATTTCTCCAAGATTTAGAAAAAAAAATCGAAGAGAAATCGCTATGAATTACTTCTAGATGTGTTAGGGGGTGTAATTCTTCTGGTCTCTAAAAAATGTTTTTTCTTAAAAAAATACCAGTATAGTTGGGGGAAAAATCGTGTGAAATATCTTTGAAGATATGACCGCTGACTACCTTTAACTGATTACCCTGTGATCCCTCGTTAAATGGTACTGTTCTAAGTTGTCCATCATCAGATTATTTTTACAATACAGCTTATTTTTGTGCGTTTTTTTAATAAATTTATTAACACACTCTTTTGTTTGCTCTAACCATTTTTTGTATTCGAATGTGCTGTTGCTGTTATGGGGGTAGTTATAAAATATAAAGAAAAACATGAAAAAATAGTTTTTTTAATACAATTTTGTGCAATTGTCAACGGTGGCGGTTTACCAACTCACCAGCTGCTTGTACTACCAGACTTAGTGATACTTTTGGTATTTTGATACCTAATTATACCTCATTATTTGTTATGTTTGCTTAAATTGAGGTTACTGAGTTGATTTAAGCTACTTTATCAACTTTCTTAATTACCAAACTGACCACACAAATAAAATGCTGAAAATAGGAATAAATAAATTATTTGTTGCTGAAAGTTAAATTTACTTAAACAATATATTGATCTTCTTCTCTCGTCGCAAAGATGTTTTTGGATTATGACTCTTTTTTTTTTAAATCATTTACGTCGGTGACTAACTTAAATAGTTGTGTCGAATGTGGTTTATTGCATTGAACAGGTGTCATTTCCAATGGTTTTCGCATCCAGATATTGGATTAGTTATTGAAAATGATTGGTCAAGGTGTTTTTGAAACCATTTGGAGACTTTACTGCCACTATATAATTTTTTCTGGTTTTGAAGATGGTTTTGTATTTTTTTATAAGCAGTCTTAAGAGATATCTCGACTTTATCCGCTGCGTTTTTCTATATGACGGGCATTATTAATAAACAACAAAAATAAACTAAAGCAAAATTATTTTTTCCCAACTTGGACACGAGTCCCGACAATGTAGCAACAAAATCTATAATTACGTGTAAAAAATAATATGTATTACCGTGTTTAAGTGAGCAACCTGCAACATAAACAAAAACAAAATATTGCAATGAATTAATAACGTTCAACGGAAATGCCTGTAGGTATAATATAACATATAATCGAAGGGAATAGAGGGACAGGACTGCTAGCTTTGGTTAAAAGAAAATTAGCTAGCAACTATGTCGACGGGACTTCTGCAACTGGTAAAACAAAATACTGGTATAACTTCATGGATCTTTATTGATTAACATTTTCTTTCGAAAAAAAAAACAGAAAATTACATATGGAATTGCTTAGGACTAAAGCTCAAAGGAAGAAAATTACAAGCGACAAAAATGATGGAAAAATAAAAAATGAAAATAACTAATTCTAAATTAAAATACGATGTACAGGGGGAGCCACGCCGGCGGTATAGCGTCAAAAGTAAAGAAATTCGCGATAAGGCAAGTGGTACAAAAAGTCGCGGTCGCGCGCTCGTTAGCATCGCCCTGTACAAAAACGGAATCACAAACTACAACTGAGTATCCGACGGTGTGCTAAACTCAATAACAGTGTCGTAAAACTGAGACGTAAAAGGTCGCTTAATATCTAAATATTGTATTGCTTTTCTAATCAACAATATGTTTAAGCGTATCGCTCTTAAGATATTACATATATTTCAGTATTGCTTTGTTGAACGCATGGTGAAAGATTTGTACGCACGCTGGACTACATATTACTCAAGTACACTGTGGTCGATGATTATTATGTGTGGCTTTTGTTAGGCCTGTATAAATGGAGATTAACAAAACATGTTCCCGAGCCATAGGAAAACGGTTTTCTCAATCTCTGAGATCGAGCCAAGCATGCGTACCAAAATTTTCAAACTCGGGCGTACAATTTGACGTAAAAATGGCGCATAGTTTTCCGGGTTATTAATCAAACGTAACAATTCCCAGCGGCGGGTACGAACATCATCCTAATGAAGTTATTAAAAGGAATGCCCCTCATCGCTAACCTATAATCTTTGTAATGCTCTATCAGCATTTGACAAGGTGATAATTACCAAAGTGACAAAAACAAGCGTACATCGCATGTTCCAACAGAATTAACGTCATGCGAAGCGGTAATAACTTCATTTAGTAAAAATGGCGCCGATCCATAAGACTGTAACCGATAAACAGTGTGAGTTGATAATATTAAAAGTTTTCGGCATGGAAGAAGATCGCCAACTCCAGATCAGACTTGAAAATACTAATATAGGAAGTATTTTATACAATGCGTTTCAGAATTCGGTACAACTATTGGGCATATTGGTCAGGCAAGAACAAGCAAATCTGGTTTTCATATAAGTGTCCTAACGTGCTCCGTTTTCGAGACACGGGGTGTCAAGGGCTATAGATAAAAATCGTTTTTTATTAGCTACTCAAAAATCTTTGGACTGATATTGCCAAAGCTTGGCAAACTTATTCCTCGTCATAAGCGTCTTTATTTTATTATTATTCGTTTCAGTGGCGTCCGATGGGGCGATTTAATTGATGTTTATAGGTAAAATCATGTTACGCTACTGACATTTTGAAAATTTATAATTTTTTTAAATCGAGCAATCAAAAATGAAACTTTTTGGTTCCTTTCGGTTTTTTGTATCAAGATAAAAATTTTAATAAATCGACAAAACCAATTTTTTATTAATTACCGATTTAAATGAAAAAAAAATAAATCTTCAAACATCTGTGCCGCCATGATATTATCTATAAATACCCTTTCACTTGTATCTTGAAAACAAAGCGCACTTGTTGATGTGAAAAACAGACTTATTTTGGCTGATAAATATAATCTTAAAATCTTTGTATTGAATTATCACCCTGCCTAGTAGACGCTATTTGGAAACTTTTTTACGAAAGTACAGGGTTAAGGTCCAAACGATATTATGTCAAACGAATTCAAATATGTATGTTTGTAAATTAAAGAAGTTACAAAAACATATTCTATTCGAATCACCCGATGATAAAAACATTTTCCAAAGCTATCAAGTTATTTAAGCAGAGTTGAAAGTATCATCTAAAATAGCGTATATAAAGTTTTACAGAGCTTTTTTAAAAGCGAATAATCGAAATACT